GTGGGGAGGGGCTGGGTGGGGAGGGGCTGGGTGGGGAGGGGCTGGTCACCCAGTGGTGCCCTTATAAAACTCAACGTTTAACCTACTCACTCCGGCTTGTGCCCGTCCTCACAGTCGGGCATATTTGCAGAATACACCACGCCGCCGTTGACCCTGGCCATTGACCGAGCAACCCAACGTTCCTACCAGCTCCCTCCGCAGGAATGTGTTTCTCTATGGTCTTCTTCTTTCGTCTGACTGATGTAGTAGATACAGAGCAGCAACTACAATTTGACACTCAGTCGGTCAAGCCAGATCACTGTGTCTGGAGCAGCAGAGTTTAGCTGTGTTCTCTCAGTGATCATATATCAGACGTCCGTTTGGAATGCACAATTGTAATTTTCAAGATCAAAGGAATGATTATGAAGAACGTAAAATCTCGGCAAGAATATGCGTAAGAGACTCAAACGGCGATTTATTGGATGAGTGGACTATCTCATGGCATGCTGTGTTTCATTGGATGCAAAGATTTGTCAACCCACGGGGGTTAGGGATAGTTTATTTTTCACTCTGTACATTTGGTCAATGTTATCTAAGACACTCAAGCATTTGAACGCTCTGTAAATCCAGTTTCTTTTTAACTAGGCAACTCCTCCCTCCGTAATAGAAAAGGTTTGCACTCTGTCAATCTGTAGCGTTCTCTCTCTTTCTTCGCACACCAGAATCCAACAGTGTTTTGTTATTGTTTTCCCTATACATGTAAACCGTGTATGTAATAACATACTCAAAATATCACGCGATACACGATGCTTCTATGCAATAACAGACTTAAAATGTAACCTGCCGCGTGATGCTCAAGTCGGACAAAGCGTCATACTATGTTATAATAACGACGTTTCTCTGGCTGGCTGGTGCGATGGCAAGTGTGCGGTTGTGATGTCACTTGCATCCCACAGCGTTGAGCCGCTAGTGCCTCCGCCCGCTCACGCACCCTCTACCCCGGCCATGTATCCCGCGCAAATACGCGGGCATTGCTCATTGTCATGAACAGAAGACGTGTGCTTGATCCAATATTTTATTGCTTTGCACAGCTTTAGTTAAAATGCACGTGAGGGCATTGTAGCTGGAAGCTGCTGTGACGTAATGCTTCGCAGACAGGACTTGCAATCCAGAGGTCGCAGGTTCGATCTCGTCGTGACACAGTTGAAACAATGACGCAGGTAAATCCCCCCTGCCTCTCCACCTATCGGTATGAATGGGTACACCACAGTTGCTCCATTGGTCAGGTCATGTGTGCAGGGGTCAAGTGGGAGTATCCAACTGATTGGCACGGTTGGTCAAGTACGGTGTGAAAGAAGTTTAAGTTCTATTAAAAATGTGTGGCCAGCATGAAAGTGAAGGCCTGGATTCCCTCTTGAGTTTTTCTCTGCAGCTCCCTCGAGGCCCTTCTCCCAGTCGTGGGTTGAGCAAGCAATTGAAAATTACTGTTTAAAAATACTCACAATTTTCATCGTGACAACTGCATTATTCGAGAGAAAATAAATGTCGCGGGCTCATGTTTTGGGAAATTATCCTTCAGAGCAGCCTTCTTAAGCTTTTGAACCTTTTTGAAGAAAAATTTTTTTATTGACATAGGTGGTTAGTTTTCCGCCTTAAATGTTGTGTTGTAATGAGCGCTTTTGCCTGCCTGTGGTTTAGTAATCTAGTTAACATAATCATAACGTTTGCGTCATATTTGCCTGATGAGTGGCCTTGAGCTTCGACCTGATTTTTTAACAGGTTTTGAATCTGCAGACACATTGACATTTCCCCCCATCAGTACACAGGTCTAGGATCTGCATCAATTAATTGCACAGTAGCCATTTCATAATGAAAAAAAATGAAATCAACTCGATGGCTAAACAGCCCATTATTTGAGCATCATAGTGAGTCTATTTGATTGAAATCGTATTGGCTTTTAAATTTTAATTCAAGGTTTGCACTTACATTGAAAGAAGCTTGATGTGTTCCGATTACCAGGTGAAATCAATATGCCAAAATTGTGCAAAAAAACGCATGCGGTAGATGTGTCTATTTTTAAGTGCCAATATATTTTCCCAATCCAACTCATTTAATACTTAACCTGAGGATATGAAGTGTTTGTTTCTTTTCTATACATCACGTAGCCTGGCATATCCAGCCAGGTGGAGCTGTGGTTGGAATGCTTGTCTAGCAATTAGAAGATTTTACGTTAAAATCCAAGGGGGTTAAAAACAGCTTGTCAATAAATAGTTTTGCTCTATATCATCTATAGGGGTGACACGGTGGCGAGATGTTAACTACCTTGCCTGGTATACAGGAGGTCGTGGGTTCGATCCCAACACTGAAGTCTATATATTTGGAGTTTTCATCTATTTCCCGTGCTTACGTGGATTTTTCTCCGGGTACTCTGGGTTTTCACTCCACATTTAGAAACATGCGTTGAAAATATATGGCTGCTATAAATTTCCACATGATAAGCCACTCCCATTGGACTATCATTTGTGGCCCGATCGCTTCTGAAAAATTGCTGTACAGCTCAATGGGCCGTACCTGGTAAAATTTAAATAGCTTACTTTTATATATAACTTCAACACCACTCTGGAAAGACTCACACCTGCCATGAGAATGCGGAATTTCCATTGCTAGCTCAGGACCACCAACAGAGATGAACACCACGTTGTCTTGTTGTCTTGTGGTTGTTGTTGTTGTTGTTTGACTTGCATCCCACTGGGATATTTGCACAGGGTTGGTGTACGGTGATTTTTTCTGTAATATTTTGCTGTCTTTTCTTGGATTTTCTGTTTGCAGATAGTCACTTTAAGATCTTTTCTTGTTCATGTTTTTGTTTTTTGTTTGTTGCGGTTGCACCCGATTCAAGAGCCGAATGGCTCACAGGGCTTTACCTAATAAATGAACTTTGAACTTTGAACTTAATTCTTGCTTGAGCAAGGACACAATCTGACTTGCTCTAATTGTGATATAGGTCATCCATCTTGTCAAATAGTACGCATCTTTGGTTTTTTAAAGGGTCCCTAGTCCTTAGAGGAGCTTGGGTGTTTTTATGCAAGGTAGCCTTTATGCATTCTTTTAGAAATGGGAAAATTGGTACTTATATTTCCTGAAAATGTTGAAATTGGTTATCAGCTCCTTGAATACTTCTTTCCACAGAACTCCAGTTTGTGCTTGGTTATTCAACACTGTGTGAGAGCCACACATGGCTGCTGCTGTACGTATGGCTATTTGCCCTTGCGTGTCTTTAAGACTCGGTAATTAGGACACTGAATGGCTGCGTCTGCATCCAGAGCTTGTTTTTGTCTCTAGCGTACTGCAATGTGATCGCTAGGTGCACAGCATATGGCCGCTGTAGACAAGGCATTGTGCAGCGGAGAGCGTTATTTGGAGATTTCTACAAATGCAACTAATTAAACTAATGTGGTGTGTGGTGAAAATGTCGCTGAACAAAAGAAAATAATACTTTGACACGAACACACAACTGGAAAGCAATATAATATGCATCATTAAGAAATGTTGAGTTATCAGTGGGGATCAAAATCATGAAATAAAGAGGTCAGTGAGATCAGGATGGAGTGCTTTAATTAAACTGCAATTTATAAATGAAAACAATTTGCCTGTGTGCTTGAGCATTTTCTGCAATTGCCATGTATTGCCTATAATGGTGTGGATCAGAAATATGGACATTAATTTAAAAAAAATCAGCAAAAGTTGAAAATTTCATAAAGAAGCATGGAGAGTGGGGGTGATGTATGCTTGGTATTAGACCGAGAATAAGAAAGTGGAACACATGAATCGGGGAACAAATGTGAATTAGTTCCATCATATCAGCTGTTCAGGAACATAATATGAATCCATTGGGCAGGTAATGTCATGAGAGTGGATGATGGTTGATGGATGAGAGTAGTGATGGAATGGCAGCCAAAGTAGAGCACACGGCCAAGAAAACAGACTCTGCAGGGCTGGAGTGATGAGATCACCATACAAAGTCCAAATATACAGGCGTCCGGGATGGAATGAAACCCACATCCTCTTGTATACCGGGCGAGATAGTTAACATCTCGTCACTGTGATGCCCTCAATCAGCCAAGCAAGAGCTTGCTGCCTTGCCAATAGCTATACCATTCCAACGTCTGGTATCCTATAGAAACGTGCCTTCAGGATGCAGTAAGCAGTTCAGACACAACAATAACTCTTTGGAGTACTGCTGATGAGCATGTTCCTAGATTCAAATGCAACCGGTATGGTCATAAATGCTCTGAAGCCTTCATAATTATCTGACATCATTGGCTCTAATTGTATAATGTTATATTTCCAGGAACGCTTTACTAAGTGTTGAACGTGTTGCGGGAGGAGTTTTGCATTGGTATGTTTGGCAAATTCCCTAAGGAGTGTTATGTATCCCAGAGGATACCCAAGTATGAAATGATACCAATCAAAAGTTAAGAAATGTTGGTTTGACTCAATTTTGTGCACTGCTATCGACTGGTCATCTTGTAGGTTGGGAGTTTTGCGTGTATGCTAAAATCTGTATGATCCACCAATGTGCATCTAAAGATCTGGATTACAAGCTTCTACGACAAGTTGGGGGGCTGGCATTTTTACAGCAAAGGCCTCACGATGTTTGTTGTTTTCATACATCCCCTATTTGGCCTTCGAATTAACCATTGGAACTTTTTATCCCTCGAACTTTGTTTGCATCGTACGTAGCCAACTATGCTAATTGGAGGGCTTTGACAATCTGAAGGTTATACGTTAAATCGAGGTGTGCCTATATTTCATTCGTGGTCAACAAAATGACAACCGCAAAAGTTGTTATTCTTTTAATAGACTGGCCCCATGCCATGAGAATGTGGAATTTCCACGAATGGCTCAGATTGAGCATTGTCCCATTGTTTGTTTTAACAGGTTGGCACCGAGCCTCGACTCCAGTGTTGGCTCGTGCAGTACTCGTTGTCACTTGTTTTGTCTGCCTTGTCCCTCCACAGTGTCTGGTCTGGGCTTCGGCATGATGAGCGGTGCGTTTTCTGGCGTGAACATCCTTGCCGAGTCTCTGGGACCCGGGACGGTAGGAATCCACGGGGACTCTGCACACTACTTCCTCTCATCAGGTTGGCCTTACTTGTTGCTGTGTTAAGTTTTTTTTAACTACTGCAGTCTTTGTTCTTGATCTGATTGTGTATTTTTGCTGGTTATTCAAGTGTTGACTCTGGAAGATTTCTAAACAAATAGAGGCGTGTTAAATGGCATTACCTTCCTGGGTTAAATTGCAATCAACTTTCCGAGGTAAAACCAGGTTCTTGTGTATAAAATTGTGAAACTCATCTTAATTTTGTTTAATTTTAAATACATTTTATGACTTCGGTGTGCACTTACATTTACTTTGCCATATGTGATGTGTTTGACAAACACATCTAAACAGCACTCGGATGTATAAAAATATACTCAATATTGTTTCCAATGAAGGTCCCTAATACCACTTCTGAGTTAGTGAATGAAATCCAATGACATTACTGTTAAGATACTTTCTATTGTGATGCTTATAATTTTGTGGATTTTCTAAAAGAGAAATGCTTAACTGTCTGCCAAGATGTGGATAGTGCAAATGAGTCACATTGCCATGGCAATTATATGGATTATTGATAAAGGTGGCATTGCCACATTTTAGCCAAATATCTGATGAAACTTGACATTCACCAACAATTAAATTTGGCTCATGGTGTTTAGACTATAAAAAAACATTAAAATGCATGCTATTTGAAAAGTTCAGTAAACAAGAGTTGAAAATGAAACTATTAAATTCAAAATGTTTCCTGACTTGCTTTTCACACTTGTATTACCGGTTTGTAAATTTACACTTTTAGAGACTCAACCCAAAAATCTAATTTTCTGTGCTGTTGTGAAAACTATCTAAGCTGCTATGGTTTTATGGGAAAAAATATTATTCGTAAGCTTCACAAGAGCACATGTTTATGCACAACAGCGTTATGGAGAATTATGATTTGCTTCACAGGGCATTAACTTGAATTATAAACAAGTGGCATGTACACATTTCATGTTCAGTTCTGAGTTTATATGTTAGCTGTGTAATAATACCATACAATCTCAAGAGAGACACAGGATTAATTTTATGAAGAAAGGTGAGTTATTATTTTCGTACAATTTAGTTGCAGGTCATGTTTTAATACGGTGATATGACACCAGCACACAATGTCACACGGTCTAAAACGTCCACTGTTCAGGATGCAACGTAAATTGGCAATTTCCTGCACGAAGTACCATTTTATGCCTTTGAACCGAGCCGTTTGACTTCAGAGCGCTGGAATGAGTTACCGGACTTACGGTCAACTCGACCGACTCGCACGTGGTTGACAAATCTTAAAAATTGATCACCGGACACGGCGGAAAACATGCACTCTTACTCAATGTAAAGTCACGTAGAATGGAAAGAATAAAATAAAAAATAAAAAACATAATAAAATAATATAATATTTTATTATTTCCATTCTACGTGACTTTACCGAAAGAACCAAGAAGATGAATCCCTACAGTCACGAAAGCTTTAAATCAAAATCTTACTCACTGCTCATTCCCTGCACTTGAGTCTCGTGTCACACATGCGTGTCTCCTCCTGCAGCCTTCATGACCATGGCCATGGTGCTCCTGCACACTGCCTGGGGTGTGGTCTTCTTCCAGTCCTGTGACAGGAAACACTGGTGGGGAGTGGCTGCGGTTGTTTTAAGCCACGTCTTCGTGTCCTCACTGGTGAGTGTGAAATGTGTAGAGCCAATTTCATTCGGCTCCTCGTCAATTACCCGCCGCGGTGAGAGGCCTGTAACATGCATTGTAAACTTTATTTTGCAAGGAGAGCGAGGGGGAGATGAGTTGTCAAAGGTACAACTGCTCGTTTTATACCTCGACACACTGTGGATAATACATACATCAACGAGAAAGCCATCTGTTTGCTTGTCGATATAAAATAATTCATTCCTGTGACTGAACGAGTATTCCAGACAAATGTTTCCCTATAGCCCTTTGTTTTAACAAGGCAAATATTAGAGCACTTGATTTTTTAGCATTGTCAGCAGAGTGCGTCTACATCCTGAGTGCATTATCATTAACTGGAGGTGCAGCGAATAGCACTTTTTACGAATTGGCTTACCTGACTTCTGTTGACGTACATTTTCAATATGTCGGCAAGTATCTTCATACTCCTTATCTAGTATCTTGAAGTATCTTCGTCTATCTTTTTCCCTGTCCTTGATTCTAACTCCCTGTCTTCATGTTTGCTTCTCAATCTGTCTGTGTGGACATCCGTGTGTCTTTATCTGTCTTTATGTATCGGTCTGTGTCTCTTTCACGGTGTCTCTGTTTTGCTGTATTTATTTCTTGCTCTGTGTGTCTAATCACTCTCCCTGACAATGTGCTGCTTCTCCTGTCACAGCCCCAGTCCTCTAATTATTCCTTCTTCTAGCCACACCCCCACTGTGGCTACCATGGTCATTTTTGACGAGTGGCCCGCAGTGCCCCCAATGTGTTACTTCACGTTGTTTTAATTGCTTCAATGTGGCAAAAGTGAGGACCAGACAAAACCAGTGTGTTCAGAGGCATAATAAAATTAAGTGAGTTTTTTTTGTTGTAAGCACGCCTGAAAAAATTAACATAGCCAAATTAATGTGAACATTCTTCCATGTATGAGGCATTTATTTCTACTGTCATTAAAACCCAAAAATGTACCGTTGGTGTGAACATGCCTTATTATACAGTTAATTGTTACTGCGACTTGTTTGACAATTCCTTTTTGCAATATAACGGCCTGGTGTTTTGCCTCATCAGCTGTAATGTAATGTGGGAACAAACTGATCTGCAATTGATGACATGACTGTGTGGCAGTGAACGGTCAGATCGTGTCTGAGCATGTCGCTGTGTCTGATGATCAATCTCAAGAGACGTTTTAACTTGATGCTATTGAAGAGTCCAATTTGTAACATTTAATGTGCAGTGAAACATCTCCTTGCTAAAATGAGCATTGTATGAATGCTTATCACTAGCAGCCCTTTCCCAGTTTGGTAATTCCACATTGCTGTAATGGGGGCCAGTCTTAAATCATGACCATTGTTAACATCACATTGTATTGACCCCACAGCTGATCAAGTAATGATCTCACAATCCTCCAAATGGAATTTGAGGGCTTTACCAACATCGTCTTACAAGACGTCTTACAAGACGATGTTGGTACTTATATATCGTTTAATGCCAGTGATTCTTTAACCTCCAGGCTATGATTAGATTCGTATTCTGTGTGTTTGTTCAGTTTTGTCACCTCTATGAGAAATATCAATATCTAGCTGTACATTAGCCAAACGCAGATCCCATTGTCCGCGCTGTATTTTGTGGAGAGCGGTCGTGTTGTGGTTGGCGCAATGCGCTACGAATCCGGCGTCCCAGGTTCGATTCCCGCTCGCAGTCAACACCAGTGATGATTATCTGAACCGGTCCTGGGCCTCCCCTCGGTGGCCTCAGCCTCAAATGCGTACTTGGTGTTGTGCGTAAGCATCGCCACTAGGAAGACAAACATGGTCAGGCGTGATGCTGGCCACCCACCCCCTCGTGTGCTGTGCCGGCCTTCATAGGTGCTCGCTCACAGCACTTGCCCCAACATTTTGTTAAGGCTATAAGGGGGATCTTTGTCTTTTTGTCTGTGTATTGTAAATATGGTGACTTGTGCAAACGCCGCGTTCACAACGGTGGCGTTGTTGTTGCCTGCAGACGTTCGCGAATCCCAATTACGAGGCGAGCTTGATACCGGCCTACCTCATGATGGCCGCCTTCGGCACGTGGGCTTACTTCACGTCCGGCGGCTCGCTGAGGAACATCAAGAGCTTTGTGACATGCAAGAGCTCTGAGTATCTGCTGGCCAGCCACCGCCAAAGATAGGGCTGCCTGCCCCTCGGTGTGCGATTCAGCATGCGTGTCTGTGTTCGTGGACGTGCAAATATGCGTGTATTTTGGGGTGAAGTGCTGTCAATCCAGGAGTGTGTGTGGAGCACGGGGAGCTGCAACTCATCCCACCGAGGCTTTGCCTCTCAGTCATAATAATCCAAATAGAACTGCATGTGGACATTGCCATAGCAGTAGCTGCTCATGTTGTCTTTACATTTATTAATTTGAGGTTATTGTGTAGCTACACACGTAGGTCATACGGTGTCACAAGCGCTCCAATTCTATTTTAAAGGTTCATGAATGAGAGGAAATATTTGAAAAATTGCAGCTGCGTGACTTGCAGATGCACCGCCGTGTCGGCCTCTTGTGATGTCCCCACCACGTTTGTTTTTTCAACGGCGAGGTTCCTGTTACTCGGCTACTTCACGTTGTGCACTGCATGGTGAGCGTCTCTTCATCTTCGCATAAAGAGCTCGGTATCTGAAGCCACAATGGCAGTACAACGGCTTGCAGCCGGGAGCTGGGATTTCAGGGATAAAAAAAAATTTCATTCAAAGAAGCCAAATTAATCTGCGCACGTTTCTGTTAAATATTGTTTTGAAAATGTCGTGAAATACCACTCATTGTTTTTAGGTTACATTTTTCTTTGGAAGTGCATGAAAAATCAACAAACTTTTACAATTTGTGTGTCTCCTGGCCACTTGTCATCTTCTGGTCTTGACGCACATTCGAGAAATAACTTTGAAGTCCAGTGCAAAGAAGCTGCAGCAGCTTATTCTTCAATAATCATTCTTTTTTTTTGTTACTAGAAAATACCTGTACCCTGGTTGAGTGACAAGGTTGTCGTTGGTCGAGTGTGTTAAGCGCTGCTCTTGATGCTGATTATGATGTTTAACAGGACGCCGAGCAATACATCTTAGAGGTGCACTCAATGGCAATTTCTTGGAAGTGCATGTCCCGCATCGTTTGATTAGTGGGGCGGGGGGCGGGGGGGTTAAGGGAGAAGTAATGGAGGAGAAAGCAATCTCCCTCATTCTGTCCGCCCACATCTCTCTTTGTCACTCACAATGGGATTTTGGGTGTGCCCCAAAAGGATGTTTCGCCTGGTACTGTGTGCTTGCATGTATGTGTGTGTTTGTGAATGTGTGTCGGATACATTTATATGTAAATCCCTCTTTCCCCATGGAGCAATATTATTTTGGTATTTATTAGATTTACCCAATTCTGCCCTTCTTAACTGCCATTATTTCCAGTGAACGATCATTCTGCATTGTATCAGTCAACACGTGCGTCATGTGTATTGATGAAGTTGCATTAAGTGTGACGGACTGGTAAACTTGTGGGGGACTGAGGAGTTAACGTCTTTGACTAATATGAGACATGAGAAGAGAAATGGTCAACCTCCTCCACATGTGTCTATGTGAGTGTGTACGTGCATACATGTGGGGAGCGGTAGTGTAGTGGTTAGCGCTACGCTGCGCTACGAACCCAGCGACCCGGGTTCGATTCCCGCTCACGGCCAACACCATTGACGATTATCTGAACCGGTCCTGGGCCTCCCCTAGGTCGACTCATCCTCAAATTAGTACCTGGTGCAGTGTGTAAACATCGCCACTAGCGAGACACAGGCGGCCGGGCGTGGTGTTGGCCACCCACCCCCTCGTGTGCCGTGTCGGCCTTCATAAGTGTGCTCGCTAACAGCACTGGCCCCAACAGTCTGTTGGAGGCTATACGAGGGATTTTTGCCATTTTTTTGCGTGCATAGATAACGCCTCGATGTCATCTCACTGTCTTGTTTGAAGTTGCCATGCCAGTGAAGGATTTCGAGTTTTACACAAATTGGACCGAAAGATGCTTTCGTACAACACAAGGCCTGCGGCAGGTGACTTGATTAAACATTAAACTTCAAGATGAAGGATACCGATTGTGTAGGTGACCCATTTCGCTTTGCTTATGTGATATGTTGGCACAAGGCACTTGTGTGTTTTTTGAGTGATAGTGTGCGTGCCACTGCAGTATCACTTCTGTAATCTAGCAATAAAACATCTAGCAAGTGGTTCACCTCGTTTATATCCTGGCAACAATAATACGCATAATTACATTATTTATGCTGTGATTTGCACTGACGTGTCACATGTGTGCTGTGGCAGTTTATGGGGTGCGTCGGCTGATGGCCAATTGGTACACCAGGGAAAAGCTATCATTTCGAACATGTGTTTTGCGTCTCCATTGGGAGGTTGCCCGTAATGCCTTTCATTAAGGTCTATCTACGAAAATATTTAGTTAACTATCACTGAGTAAAACCCACTGGGGCTGCGCGTGTGAGAAGCAGAATCCATTATTGCATTGTACGATGCTCCTACGTCTACTACGCTCGCCACCTTCAACGTGCACTGACCGGTGTGGTGAAGTATGGCCAAAATACCCGCATCAGAAGTGGGGAGGCCATCATGCAGCAGTGAATTGACAAAAAGGGCTGTATTTGTATAAAACCTAGCATTTTTTATATTTTATATACTGTACACAACTTCACTGCGACAGCATTAGCATACTTATTTTATCAGGTAAATTGATTTCCTTTCAAACAAGTGAAAGCATAGGTTTACGATGTAGAGTGAAATAGAGTATTGTGTTAGAGTCCAGGGGTGGGGAACGTCCGGCCTGCGAAATCATTTGGGTCTGGCCCTGCCGAGGCAACTGCAGGCGGGACTCGAAATTCAATAAATCTAGGAGCAAACCTGGAAAAGCAGTTGCGAATAGCAACATCATCAATACCAGCTAACATCACACGCCTCACCAAAGAGAAGCAGTTCCAGCCATCACATTAGGGGTGAGTTAATTAAATGTTTGACCAAATATAGCAGACTACTTTTTTTTAAGTTGATAATTTTGTATGGCCCGCGAATGATGTTATAAATGTCCAAATGGTCCTTGGCAGAAAAAAGGTTCCCCACCCCTGTAATTAGACGATGACCACCTTTCACCCTGTTGCAATCTGCCAATGAACACGCGTGTTCAAAATAAATGCATGTAAACAATATCCGCGTTGCTGTGATCACGACTCTTTATTTACAGGTCCGGCCAATCTGCAATCGCGCTGGATGTCCTCATTGACTCCTCCTGTTGTCCGCAACTTGGTGGGTTAAGGGGAAACACCACAGATTGACGCATAGAAGAGACTGTTACGATGGGTTAGCTCTGCTTTGTATGTCCGTGGCAGATTAGCTGAGGAGGCTCATGGCTCCACGCACTTCATGTTTTTTTCACAGTGAGATAAAAAATAAAAAAGATGAAAACATTCCTGTGGGAGTGAGAGGAAGTCTGCAGAACAGACCTTTACAAATGATGTCATGTTTCCAACCGACATAGCAAATGTAAATTTTAGGCATTTTAAGAGGAATTTACATAGCGCATGTATTCATTTATCCTTTCCTTCATGTTGAAACTCCAAACATTTTTTTTTGGTTTTGCTCTACAGTTTTTCACTTTCACGGACAAAATAATGCGAGTCGCATAAAATTGTGGATGATAGAATTAGTTTAACAACAACATGAAAAAGTTAAAGCAAAATCGAGCTATAACGTCCGTGACAATGCATTTTTAATAATGTTTGGCATGCGAGGTAATAATGTTTGTCTGATTTTACTTGTATAATACCCCACTGATTGTCTAAAGTGTTTATTATTTTTTTGTGTCTTTGACAAGTGGGAAACTTTCAATAATGAGCTAATTCATATGCACAGACTTGCACTCGCTTTCGAGGATAATATCTCTCCATATATTTGAACACAGAACGCAGAGGATTTAGAATTGAATGAACATTATTTTGTTTATTTTTTTAAAGGCATCTCATTATTGCAGTGTTGGACATTTGGATGGATAGGCGTGCGACATCACTAAGCAAACGTCTTCAATTCTCTTGATACACGTGTAGGTATACATTCTGCAATTTGTTCAGCATCTTTGCACAAATCGCCCGAAGATGCTGGATGTAATTACCAGCGAAACGTACTCAAATTCTAAATGTTGTGGATTCACTCTTGAAACACACCGGTGGGCTGAAGAAGTAACTAATTGGCGTTTTGTTAACGTGACATTTTTTTACTGATTGGCCGTGTCGAGTGGTGGAGGGTTGCGACACATTTATATAACGCGATCAAACCCAAACACCTTTATTATGAAGGAAGGAGGCAGTCATACGCCACATCTTTCACACGTGCATGCTTCGACGAATAGGTGCACCGTGTGGTGCCAGATAGAAGATCGTTAACTAAAAAGATTTGGGCTATGACGGAAACATGCTGCATGTTGCTTTAATGAGTGACACTTGGTATTAAAGCATTAATTATTTGTCTTACCACACGCAGAGTACTGTCACACATAAACATGTCTCCACCCTGGAACACCAAAAATAGCGCTTCCAGAGAAATCAGATATGCAGTTGATTACTCGCTATAAAAAAAACTCACGCAAAAAAACATAGTTATGGATGCATACGTATAAAGTGTGTCTGTACATCTTCTTGGTTCTTTCGGTAAAGTCACGTAAAATTAAAATAATAAAAATAAAACAATATTTCTCACGACGTTTCGGCCACAACGCAAGCAGCCGTCCTCAGGTGTAGAACAGGTCTGTCTTCTCTTCTCGTCAGACCTGTTCTCCACCTGAGGACGGCTGCTTGCGTTGTGGCCGAAACGTCGTGAGAATTATTTTATTATGTTTTATTTTTATTATTTTATTATTTCCATTCTACGTGACTTTACCGAAAGAACCAAGAAGATGAATTCCTGCAGTCACGAAAGCTTTAAATCGAAATGTGTCTGTACAATTCATGACTTGGCAAACATGTAGCAAAAATAGTTCCTGCCAACACGATAATACTGTCACTGTTAAAACAATGGTCGTGCGTGCCGAGACACTTTGTCCACGTCTTGTGCTGATGGTCCAATGCTGGCATGCCGAATATCACTTGACGTTTCATCGTGGAAGGGCTGATGGATTGTCACGCGTTGGGAGTGCTCAAGAGCACAGTGACGACATTTCCAATCGCGTAGCACGTGTTATTTATTTTTGGTCTTGGCAGCAGCATGTGTGACATTTGCATTAGAAGGTGCGTGTTTTGTGCAGGTGAACGTCACTTTGCACTTACTGATTTCATAGATACTAATTTTCTTAAATACAGATGCGCATTATAAATCAGACTTTGAAAAAAAAGTTTGCCAAGATGTTGCCTTTAAGATGTGTTTTTTTCTGAGTAGATATTTGTTTGACATAACTGGAAGAAAAATATTTAAGATCGCTACAATGGTAATCATGAGAAATCATTGTTTATAACTCCGCAAAAACGAACTATTTAATCTTGTTTTGTGCTTTCATGTTGATCAGCTGCAAAAAAAAGTCAAAGTAATGCTGCCGGGCTGCTGCTTGCATGTTTTGATTCACGTTGGGACAGTATGTCAAAAGGTGTGAAGTGCAGTTATTGTTTAATCACACCGCTTTAAACCGACAGATTTGTGCATCACCGTAGAGTTGCCACTTGCCGACCTTGTAATAAAATAAAGTAATGAAGAGAGAACCCCCTCTCACTTTATCAACGATCTGACATTGATGTTTCTCCTGCGAGTATCCCAATTGTTGGATCGCAATTGGCACATAAATTTGGGTTCTCCTGGCACTGTAATTACACATGCAACAGATGCCCCTGCTGACAAGAAGCCTCACAATACTAAGACAATTTGTAGTATTTTAAGTAATGTCCTTTTTGAAATCTAATGTCATATGTAAGATAATGATATTGGTGGTTTGGAACGTATGTATGTTTTCTCCCATTGACAGCATTAGAAATACTTCAAATTGTAAAAAAAAAATCACAGATTTTGACTACACAAATTCCAGAGAAGGTGCGGTGGCATACGTTAAACGTTGCATTGTGACCCTTTGTGTACTGCATATCCAAATATTTGTACTATGGCAGCTAAAATTATGGAACGTGGAAGTTATAAAATTAAGTGTTCAGTTAAAGGAACATGTCTGCACAGAACATCACTGCTGTTTGTTGATACGGGGCAAAGGGCACACGTGTAAGAGTAAGATTTTGGTGTGTTGCCATTGAACATAATTTGCACTATGAACAGAGTGCAGCATGACAGAGCACTGGGAGGTGGGTGGGTGGGGGATTGGGGGGAGGGGTCGTGGGGGCGTGACGTCATCACGCACTAGCCCCACTCAACGCCGTGCGATGCGCGTGATGTCATCGCGCAGTTCTCCACCCGTGCGCAAGCCAGCCAGCCAGCCAGCAAAACTTTTTTGTTCTAATATAGTATGATGTCAGAGGCCGGTCGAAATTCGGTTTCGGCGCCGAAAGGTGGCAAATGGCCTCTTTCGGCATTCTTTCTGTTTCGGCCGAAAGTTTTTTTTACTTTCGGTTTTGTCCGAAATCAATTTTTTTAACTTTCGGTCTGGTTTCGTTTTCGGCTGAAACCAGAAATTATGTCTCGGTCAGCCTCTATATGATGTGCACGGTGGTTTTATGTTGTAGCACAAGCCAGACGACCAAGTTAAATATTTAGATTTTTACATTGTCAAAATGCGTCATTAGCATTAATTCCTATTGGTCCAAGCACTGGACGTCTGCTACTGTCTGGCATTGGTCTTTGTTTGGTTGGCTTATGCAGGATTTATGAGCATACTAAATGCCAATATTTGAATAACCATACAGATTAACTGTATGCTGACACTGCATAAATGCAGGCTGGTATACCGCATGTAAACCAATCGCGGCCCATCATTACATGAATCATGCTGGCGATCTGTGTGATGCTGATAATTATAATATAATGCAACGTACGGACTGTATTTTCCATGTTCCTTGTTTTTTTTACTCCTCTCGATAGTTTCCTTAAACTGTTTCCCTCCATATTGTCATGATGGTACTGTACAGATATTAATACAGTAATCTCTACAAGGTAACATCTGCCTTAGCTGATGAAAAACCCCATCAGCTGGGAAAGAAAAATGTGTAAAAAAAAGATTTGTCAGATAAGGGCACGTGTCCTATTAAATAAACCTTTTTAGGTTATGCCAGCCCACTGTGGCTATAGGTTAAAGGGCAAAGCTGTGTTGCGTAACAAAACACAGGGTTAAAAGATGAATAGTGCTTTGTGTAGCCATGCTCTTGTATAAATAACAAAACAATCCATAGTTACAAGGGATGTAACTATGAATCGATTAAAATAGATGATTGTGCTTACGAATCAGGCATCCGATCGCGTGTGCAGCAATTTGTTTTTCGATGCCTAATGTTCTATGTAATGAGTTCACTTGATTCCTGCAGCTGCTTGTGGCTTGCTTACATTCACCACAATATAAAACATTATCGATTCTTAAATCAAATCCACGTACACCCCCCCCCCACCACCCCATTTTTTCAATCCACTTCTGCATGAAGACCTCCCCATGCTTTGTTGGTCGTGTTGATTTTTTGTTACCATACTTCACCGCACTGCTTCGTGCAGGTTGAGAGGTTAATCGAATCGTGACCCATATCACGCGACAATCAAAGCTTGTGTGTGAGAAAGGGAGGGGGGGCGGGGTGCATTTACGCACTTAATTGCTATCGTGGTTTTTTAAAACTGCTCCACAATTGAAATTGGCTACATTTGTGGCTGGTTTTTAAGCCAGTGGCTAAATCAGGCTGCTGTACATTGACTGGGTTACTTGAGAGCCCAAGCATGTATCAATCATCCTTATGTGTACTGTGGTGTATACTGGTAATAGTCGATGTATGAGTTTTCATACAGACAAATACGTGAGTAGCCTTGGTCTTCACTTGAACAAAAACTGTCATATTGACTCCCATTTCGGAATTAATTGGTGTGATATTTCTTTTGCAGAGAGTAGGGGTGTGAATTTATCTTTTTTGTATGTGCAGCGCTTTCTTTTGCTATGTCGTTGCACCAACACCGTCATTTTGAAAAATACCCAATGCCAAAACGCATCGCTTACTGTTTAAAAATGTCTTGCATTGCGTTGGTAATTTTTTTTTAAGTTTTAAGTTGAATTCTATTACTTTTGTACAGTGTTTCCAAGCGTGTTTGTCAATGAAGGGCAAATTTCGAAAAATCAAAGTTTTTTGTAGCAAATTTACTGTATATAGGAAACAGTAAGTTAAGGCAATGTACGAATGTGTTTAAGAGACTGGATAAATTATGGTGTAGCCTTTATTGATATTTAGCTAATGTATACTTTAACATATTTGATGGTAGCCGCTTCACTTCGAGAAAATCAATTAATGGGTTCAGGTGATGACGTCATCCTGTTCGATTTAAGACCGGAAGCAGGTGGATGGCTTCACCATTCCGGCAAATCGCCCGATGATGCTGGATGTAATTACCAGCGAAACGTCGTACTAAAATTGTAAATGTTGTGGATATTCTCCAACACACCGGTTGGCTGAAGTAGTAACTATTTGGCGTTTTGTTTACGTGACAAATCCCTTACTAATTGGCTGTGTCGGGTGGTGGAGAGTTTCGACACATACTTACGCGATCTAAACTTAAAAAAACCTTTATAATGAATAATATTGGTCGTGAAAGCCTCCGTGTTAAAATATCATGAAGCTGCAGAGAAATGAGCCACCTCCATGTGTCACCATCTCGAGTCGTGCCTACCCGCAGCCGTGGAATTACGTTGGAATGTTACAGCTGTACACGTGGCTTTGCTATACCAATGACCCTTTGAATTCTAAAAGCAACCTGTGATTTTCAATAAATTTGAGAACAAAGCGCAATGTGGTATACGTGGGTTTTGTTTGTGTTGCGCGTATGTCGGGCAGTCCTCGACGACTTACGAACGTAATTCGTTCATGGGGCCCGTTCGTAAGTAGGAGCACAATAATGCACTGCATTTAAATGCCCATATGGTCAGTGTTATGAAATGTGTGACGGTTAAAAAAAAAGTACAAAATAGTTACGCCGTTCAGTTTTCAAGTGCGAGTTCGCTTTCTAAGTCAATGTTTTTATGTTTCATGGAAGCTGGTTCATAAGTACGAGTGCTCGTAAGTCGAGGACTGACTGTTGAATTTATTTCACTCCGCACGTAACCAACCGTGCTTATCAGAGGCACATCACGTGGTGCTTCTCGTTGCATAGTAATTGCTGTGATTTGTATCTCTTTTCTGTATGGAAACTTGCCTGGAACAATAATTAATGATAATGTGGCGACATTGATGATTTACCACAAAAGGCTTTTCGTGACCAATATTGTTGATAAAGTTTGTTGTGTCATGTCGCGTAAACGTGTCGTAAACCCACCTCTACCGGACACAGCCAATTAGTACAGTTTGTCACATGAACAGAACGTGCCAATGATTTAGTACTGAAGGCGATTGCCTGATGAAGCTGGTTGTAATCATCAGCGAAATGTCGTGCTCAAATGGTAAATGTTGTGGGTTTACTTTCCAACACACCGGTGTGCTGAAGTAGTCACTAATTGGGCACGCATTTTGTTCACGTGACGAACCTTATTCATTGTCTGTGTTGGATGGAGGTGGGTTTACGACACATTAACGCGATCTAATGCAATACAAAACGTTATGAACATATTGATGCTTTGTTTAGAATTATATTTAAACATTTGTAGGAAACCTTTACAACTTTAACCCATAAAAGATGAAAAACTTAACTTCACATTGAAAAACAAAAGATGCATGTTGCACTAGAGAATATATGGATTTTCAAGAATAACAGTAGTGATCCGATTTGTTACGTCAAGCCCACAAATGATGATGACGATGAGATTGCAGGTGACTCGAGAAAAAACAAACATTGAACTTCATCCTTAAATGGAAGTTCTCATACAGAGTCATAGGGTGGCGCTAAAGGACCATGGATATCGAGATTTGAAGTTTTCGTGACTGCAGGGATCCATACTCTTTGATTCTTTCGGTAAAGTCAGGTAGGTATAAAATAAATTAAATCACGACGTTTCGATCGCAACACAAGCGGCCGTCATCTGGCTGCACTGCCCTCTGCTGACAACGTAGTCCAGCAGCAGCGGCAGCCTACAACACACACACACGTGTTTTACCTGTGTAACACGTAACACACGTGTGTTACCTGTGTAACAGCACAACACACACGGGTGTTCATCTTCTTGGTTCTTTCGGTAGTGTCACGTAGAAGGGAAGTAATAAAATAATAAAAATAAAACATAATACAATAATTCTCACGACGTTTCGGCCACATCAGGCTGCACTGCCCTCTGTCTACTTGACGGACCTGTTCTCCACCTGAGGACGGCTGCTGGCGTTGTGGCCGAAACGTCGTGAGAATTATTTTATTATGTTTTATTTTTATTATTTTATTATTTCCCTTCTACGTGACTTTACCGAAAGAACCAAGAAGATGAATCCCTGCAGTCACGAAAGCTTTAAATCGAAATTTAAACACACGTGTGTTACCTGTGATTTGGTCATATGCGACTGCATTTTAACAGCACAGAAATGTACCATTTCAAAATGTGTTACAGTTTACCTCCATAAAACAACGTCGTTTAAAAAAAATTACGATGGAAGGTTGTTGTACAGCTTGTTTATCACGGCACCCTGCTTTGTTGCAAGTAATTATTACCCATTCATTGAGGGCAATTGAACCTGGCTGCAATTAAGCACTGAGCCCACATGGGCACGATTTCGTGCCTCGCTCGCCGATTATTGAGTGCGGGCCCCCGAGTAAGCTGGCTGCCGGCTAAATAATGAACATCGATTTGCGTGGATTACTTTCAGTCTCTGTTTGTGTTCACTGCGTGGTGTGCCTCCACCTGCAGGCAGACCTTCACCAAGGCGGTAAACCAGCAGCGGGGTTTTATTTCTCTCTCTCCAGGTCATAACTCACCCTTGCACTGCACTCTATGAATCTCAAACGTATTTAGGGGCCGTCCATAAATGACGTCACGCGATTTTAGACGATTTTTGACCCCCCCCCCTCGTCACACGGCGTCACAAAAAGTCAGACCCCCCCCCCCTCAAATATGACGTCACAAAGCTCTGCCCCTCCCCCCCAAAACCATATTTCCATTTTGAAATTAAAACATGCTTCAAATCGCTTTAAACTATTGTCATTGTAGTGCGTATTTAATGTGGCGCTGCACTCTGATGTTGTAGGAGTGTTGTTATAACAATTAGTGTTGTTATAACAAATATATATTTATTTGAAGCTGCGCGTTTTGATGTGACGTCACATTTCTCACCCCCCCCCCACCCCCCTCGTCACACATCGTCACAAATGTCGGCCCCTTCGGCTGGCCTCGGGCTAATACACCTCACACCCTCGCCGCTCATCAGAGTCAGCCATGGTGAGTCCACCGCTGGATGAAGATCTTCCCTGAGCCGTCACCATCTGCCACGTGGCTGCGACTGTCGCTATGTCACCCGTATCACTTCCACACCCGCCACCCCCAACAGATAAAGACCCCCCGGATAGCTTTAACGAACTGTCGGTGAAAGTGCTGTTAGCGAGCACCTATGAAGGCCGGCACGGCACATGAGGGGTGGGTGGCCAGCACCACACCTGGCCGCCTTTGTCTCCCTAACTGCGACATGTACACATCCCACCATGTACTCATGTGCGGCTGAGTTGACCTAGGGGAGGCGCAGGACCGGTTCAGATAATCGTCACTGGTGTTGGCCACGAGCAGGAAGAAGACTTCGGCTCGCTACGTTTCGTAGCACAGTGCGCTTACTGATACTCCTTCATTTTCGATAGCCCAAATGTAACGAAGTGAGGATGACACTGTAATTTAGATGGATCTATGAATTGATTAATCGTCACATGCCTTTTCATTAGCGCCGCATTGTAACAGGAAACACAAAGGAGGCTGAGGTTTTTGACCCTTTGCCCTTCTCGCGACAGAGGTGGCAGATTGAGAGAGGAGGCAGATTACCTCAGGGAGCAAATATTTAAATATTGTGCTCTGAAAAAAAATTGGAAGGTTTTAAGTCTCCTTTGGCAAAAAAAGAGACCCGTCACATGTTAGATGGAATTCACCTGGTTATACGGATGATCTGTATCACCAGGTGACAGACTACTGAGTCCGTGCATCTCTTTTGCAAGGCATTCAATGGTGACAGCAGGACTCGAGGAACTGAGCAATCTGAAACGCTATAGACATGCATCGACTTTGTATCTTGGGACCATCGATGTTGAATTTCCCGCCGATGGCTGCCAGTGGGAAGGAGCGTGCAAAACAAGTGAAACTGAAACGAGACAAGTTACGGATCACGGAGTGAATGGTGCATGGTGAGAAAGGGAATACAGACACACTGCACTTCTCATGGCAAATATAATTTCAGTATTGACATCACAATTAACATTCACCACCGTACATTGAAATTTAGAATTTAAATTTATGCACGTATCAATGACTATCCTATAAAAAACAATATCCCAATAGAAAAAATAATCAATGGTTTACAGTATATGCGAAGGTGTAAAAATTGGCATTGGCATTTGGTAGCCATGTTTTGATTTCAAGGCATCATCAACGACAATACATATGGGGCGTTATTTGCAATTATATTGGCTGAATGGAGCTGGGATAGAAAACCCTAATCACAGTCGGCTGTCTTTGTCCTGATGTAAATATTTAGATTTTATTTCTTTTGCCTTTGTCGTTTTGGCGACCCAGGTGACTCGTGAAAATGCGACCAACCGAGTATCTCAGTCTGAGAGCTGGTTCGACAAAATTTACTTGAACAGTCAGAAAGCTGCGAGTTCAAAATCTCAGCCAGAGGTCAGCTTCGCCCAACATCATTTCCGTGAGAAATAAGTACCATTTTGTGGGAAATCAACTTTAGTTTTCCCTTGGATGGACTGGTCCCCACCATCGCAATGTGGAATTTCCACCACGAGCTCCGGGGGGGGGGGGAGGGGGGGCTTCAAGAGATGAGCACTGCCACAGGAGGAGTTGGGGAGACACTGACTTCGTTTGGCGAATATACAGCACTTCATTTGCAAGTGGCTCATCTAACAAAAAGGCGTTCCCCCCCCCCCCGTCCCCACTCGTGCATAAACTTGAACTCCCCCGATGCGCACGCACGCGCCACACGTCCTTGCTGCCGCTTGTGCTGCTTGATGACGATCGCAGCGACGTCTCGCCTGCTCAGAGGTTACGGGGTGATGAGTTTATATTGCCAGCACATTATCCGTCAGCACGCCTCGACTCAAGCAATGGTTCGGCGTTGTCGTTTGCGCACGGCGTACCAATCAGTTTCAAGGACAATGCATATATTATCAGAGTATGTTTTTGATTGCATTTGGACCGCAAGTATTGTGGTTAATACAGACATGATTCCTTGCAAAAGGTTTCAGTTTGGTGTTTTAACAACTTAACACCTGTTTTGTTGCCAGATAAAAGGGGAAAACCCTATTATCATATTTTGGTACTGGCAAAGGAGGTCCCATGATGTAGATTTGTAAACATATTCAGTGTGTAGAATCCGTTGTTAATGATATGTGTTTATCATAAGGCTGAATTATTTCAAGGATATAAGTAATCTGCAATTATTGGAATAGTCTGTTCTGGTAAAACAAAATAAATCATAGAATGAGCCGTGAATAATGAAGTAGTTTTGGCCTTGGTTTCGTGCATACGGCGCCATGATTTTTTCCCCTATAAAAGTGTGAACACAGTTGCACGACAGTTATTGCAATTAGACAACTTTTGTGTTTAGGAAATGGCAAATCCGTGAGTGTGAATGGGAAACCTTAGTGACAACTTGTCTAATTGGGCTTCATAAACGTTAAATTTCGATTTAAAGCGTTCGTGACTGCAGGGATTCATCTTCTTGGTTCTTTCGGTAAAGTCACGTAGAAGGGAAGTAATAAAATAATAAAAATAAAACATTTAAAGCTTTCGTGACTGCAGGGATTCATCTTCTTGGTTCTTTCGGTAAAGTCACGTAGAAGGGAAGTAATAAAATAATAAAAATAAAACATACGTGACTTTACCGAAAGAACCAAGAAGATTCATAAACGTTGTCACTCGGTCGATCGCGTCACAACGATAACATCAAGGCTGCGAAGACATAAGGTCCCTTCACCACATCTCATACATTCAATTAACGGCAACGAAAAATACGACCACATCGCTCCATTAATTCAGTAGAGACACTCAACCGTTTCCTGCTGCATAAAGAGGGCAGCAGATACTCCACAACGCACTAATGAGGAGATCTAGAGCCGTGTTTCTGACAACTGGAGGGGACTTCTGGCAAGTTCAGATGGTTTCCTTGGTCGTAGCCGGTGTGTACATGGCTGCGTTTTCCGTGGCTGCCTTCTGTTTCCTGCCAAACACACCGGAGACACTCAACCCTCCGTATACAGGAATACAAAGTCACACAATATATATTTACAGTCAAGAATATCATCATCATCGTCGTCGTCGCCGCTATGGCACTGGGGAGAGCGTAAAAGTTAAATATGCAGCCCTGTACGAACCTTACTCACTCCTCTGCTAGAGGAAGGGCCTCCACTAGAGGAAGCTCCTCTTCCATGCTGGATAGATGTCTCGGAAGAGGTAGGAATAGCCACACTTCACCCCCATCACACGTAACTTGCCGATTGACGAACATCAGTTTTCCCATTTATACTTTTGAAGTGGGAGGGAGTACATAAACTTGCCCCATTGTTGTAATTGCTGCGTTGGGAGATTTAACCGGTGACCTCCGGATTGTAAGTCCAGCATGCTAACCATGAAGCTATGGCAGCATTCCCTGAGGTTATTGTGCTGGATTCAAAATTTAAACAAAAATGTGTGAGTTCCACTCCCAGTTGGGGGTTTGACTCAACCTATTATAGCTCCGTGGTCAATTCAACGACTTCGATGTTGTGCAACATCAAACACGAGTTACATTGTGGGCAGACTGACGCCCACCATCGGGATGTGGAATTCCCTAGCACTGGCTCAGGTTTGCCGATGGGGATGAGCACCACCTCAACGACTTGATTGCGGACAGAGACAATGATGTAAACGGATCGAATGAGACAAAACCGTGCTTGTACAAAAAGGATTTATGCACTGGCTCCTTTCACTTTGAACCCGAGTTCAGCACGAAGCATTGGGTGCTGCTTTATTGCAGGCAAAATTTCCCCTCAATTGAAAGACAACACTTGGGCCGCCGAAAGCCTCTCGCAACAAAGGCTGAGCACGTTTTCCCATGGACGGACATGACCTCCGGAACAAGGCCCTTATTGTCGTCGTGCCATGTGACACCGCCACAAGGTCCGAGCAGGTGCTACGTGCCGGATACATTTCAAGGCAATCTTTAGCCGTCAGCCTGAAGCGGCTGCATTTTCTTCCCACCCCCCCCTCCCAACAGCAGCCTTCTCGTCCAATGCGGCCGAGTGGTTTATTGTCAAGCGCCGCAGATAAAAAAAGCTCAGCTGCCCTCAGCTTACGCCCAATAGTTGTGTCGTTTGTTTAAAGGTAAAGGTGCAGCTCTGCAATTGCTTGCTCAAGCCACTGCTGACGGAAGGTTGCTCTGGTGCTCTCCCTCTAGAAGATATTCGGCCTGACTCTTGCATGCTGGCCAGACATCTTGAAAGAGATAGGAGTACCCACACTTTCCGCCACCATCCGACCTGCCAATAGGACTGACTGTGAATGACGTGTAACCACAGCCGAATAGTCAGGCTCCGAAATCGTGTGGTTTTGTCCATGCGCACATGTTCAGGATGAATACGCCATGCGGCTCTTTAAGGACCGCTTCGTGACAGTCGTTTATACAGGATCACCGTTTTGTATTCGCAAGCATTGCAGATCTTGAAATGGTACGTTTTTTTACCGAATTCGGAAAAAATCATTCTCATCCTGTTATGTTGGTTGCTGAGCCCTGCTCGGCCTACTCTTCCACATCGGCCTGAAGGCTTGTAAGAGTTGGAGGTACTGTACCAACAATTTATCCCATCGCGCAAGACCTACCGATTGACCAACTGTGGTGTAACCATTTATACCGTTGCGTGGACAGAGGCGGAGAGGGAACTTTGTCCGTCATTTCAACTGCTGCCAGGAGGTCGAACCGGCGACATCTGGATCGCAAGTCCCCGTGGTTCCGACCATCGCACTATGGCAGCATTTCTGTTTACATTTTTTTAGCGAGCAATTTATTTATTTCGCAAATGCTTTTACACGTGACTGTCGAACAGTTAAGAGCGGCAGGTATGCAAGAAAAATAAATAAATATGATTGTCGATGTATATTATTTGGATACTTGGGCTAAAAACACTGTGTAACAAAAAAAAATGTTCCTGGGTAGTAAGTGTTATTTCCTAATTGCTTATGCCTCAAAAGTACAGAATTTGGCTATTATTCCCCACAAACTTTGCTTTTGTGACCAGGACAGTAATATTTTGACATTTACCTATTTTCCAGAACATTCCAGATATATTCAGTGCTGAGTAAACTTGGAATAACTTCTAGAACATTATAGAACTTTCCAGTAATATAAATAGTAGTATAAATACAGGAGCCTTAAGCCCACCAGTTCAGTTTAGTTCCAGTTGCCTAAGTGGATACATTTCTGCATTTTTCTGAGATGGCATCAAGAGGGGTACCCGCGTTGCGCGCATTCTGTGACGAGCCACACCTCTTTTGCTGGCGGTAGAAGTAGATGAAGAAAGTCAACACCGTCACGGCGAGAAGCAGCCCCAGAATGATCGCCGTTGTGTTTCCTGAGCGAGGGAAGGAGGGAGGGAGACATCGAGACGGTGCATCTTGCGTGCGTTTTCGTGCTGGCGTCCGATATTCTTTCAGCCCTTCAAGAACCAAATGGCAAAGCATTTGGGGATGAAGAGTAAATGTTGTCTCTGCCAAAACATGAAATACTCAAATAATATTTTTTGCAATGTGTCAGTCTTCCACTAGATGAAGGCCTCCCTATGCTGCGTGGGTCTAAGGGGAGTTGTTTGACCATACTTCACCACTCTGGTAAGTGCGGGTTGGTGAAAGAGGGAGGGGTTCCCAGAACGGGTATTAGCCATGCCTGAGATTCGAACTCAGGTGGCTGGGCTCATAGTGCAGTGAACTCACCACTGTCTGTCACTGCTGCACTTCCAGACACTAATTTAGACAAAAAAAAATTCCCATCTATTATTTGAATAAAAAAGTAAAACAGCATTCACAATGAAGCACATTTACGTATATTGACACAGATGCATATAAACACATTGGAGTGCGATTACCCTATGAGATGATTGCTACAGCAGCCCCATGCCGTGAGTAGTCTGGCGATAAGAAGGAGAGTTGTTGGGACGTGTCTCAGTGAACGTGTGATCGCAGGAGGCGCTGAAAACATCGCCCTTGGCTACACAGCCTGAGTGTTGGAAAGCGACCATGCTATTGTACCCCGACACCAACACTTGAACCGACACCTGCCTGCATTACACTGCAGGGGTTTTGTTGTATTAAATGGGTCACAAGTAAACCGTGTCCGAATTGTATTCTATTCGAGGCACTAATTACATGGGACAATTACATGGGGCAAATCACAGTGTGACATATTGTTAGTCTATGGTTCTTTCGGTAAAGTCAAGTAGATAGAAAAAAATAAAATAAAGTGTCTGCCTCAGCAGCAGACCATACTTTCCCACTTGATGATGGACGCTTGTGTTGCGCCCGAAAGGTCGTGATTTATTTTATTTTATACCTACGTGACTTTACTGAAAGAACCAAAGAGTATGATATTTTTAATCACTTTATTTTTTCTTATTATTTTTCCTATCTACGTTACTTTACCGAAAGAACCATAGAATATTAATTCCTGCAGTCACGAAAGTTTTAAGTCCAAATTTGACGCTGTCTTTCCGACAGACCTGTTCTTCACCTGAGGACGGCTGCTTGCGTTGTGGCCGAAACGTCGTGAGAATTGTATTTTATTATGTTTTATTTTTATTATTTTATTATTTCCCTTCTACGTGACTTTACCGAAAGAACCAAGAAGATTTGACACTGTTGTTAAGGCTTTATTTTAACTGAAAAATATACATTTACAGTCGTAGCTTAAAGTATCAGGCAATGGCCCCGTCGCAGCTTTGAATGGGGACTATTGTCCAAACTGCGAGCCTAATGTATATACTGTTTATAGTTTTTGAAGGAAGGCATTGTTCATGGTGATGAGAGGGGGTAGGAACTTTCCAGCCTCTGGGTAGTATCAAAATTTACTTGGTTGTCATTGTTTAAGTTCTCACTCGGAGCTCATAAAAAATTATATGAAGTAGCTTAGTAGAGTGACTGTAATCTACCTTTAACGCTTCCAACAAATACGTTGGCGTGGAGGTGTTAACTCTAAGAGTGCTCGCGCTTTGGATGAATGCCACCAAGCTGCCAAGGTAATGCGAGCGGATGTCCACGTCACTCACCCGCACATTCGCACGCTGGTTCGGAAGCTGCGGGGATGACAGGAAAACAGAGCACATCACCGTCGACCTTTCACGGCGGCTGATACACAGCAATGACGGCAATAACGAAGTATACTCTCCCGCTCGAGTACAATTAAAAGTTATAAAAAAAAAATACAGAGGCAGTCGGATGGCTCAGGGTTCAGAGCATCAGGGTTTGGCACTGCTGAGATGCTGGGTTGATTCAAGGCAGCCGCCCATGATTAAAGCTGGATGCCAGCCCAGTCGCGAATGGTTGGCAAAAAAAAGACAAAGACAAAAGCTCCCCCGTGTAGCCTTAACAGGCTGTTGGGGCAAGTGCTGTTAGCGAGCACCTATGAAGGCTGGCACAGTATGCGAGGCGGTGGGTGGCCAGCACCACGCCCGACCACCTTTGTCTCCCCAGAGGTAACGCTAAGTCGAAATCTCTAATTTAGATCGGATCATTGGGGTTTATTAGTAATACATCGGCATTTTGCCACCCCCACTGCCACTGTGTAGCATATTATTACGTGCCAGGGACTCTATGAGATGATAGGACAATAGTCTGATTCCGTAATTGGCAATACGTAACGGCAAAGCAGTTATAAGTGACTCACAGAATTGTGCGCAATTCTGAGTCACTTCCCTGAAGGCAAACACCTTCAGCGAGCGCGATGCCGATCACACAACGCGGTTCGAATTCGACCCTCGATCGATGTCTGCGCCATCGCCGCACATGCGTCGAAATAAAAGCAAGGGACAAGTCCTTACTTACTAACAACTCCTCTATCATGTTTCATTGCTGGAGGGGTTGCCCCCCCCCCTACTTGAAAATCCTGGCTCCACCATTGCTTGCACAGCTGATGAAAATTTTATTTCTGTTCTTCCTCCACAGGTGATATTGATTGATTGATTCATTCATGTACTAATATCAACATCGGCAGCGTTGGTTTGCAAGAATCGTGTTGATCTTGACCTTAATATTACTGAAGGTATAAATTGTTCAGATCGTGTATCCCAAACCACCCGCGTCTTATAACTTTCTTTAGCCAAGCTTCAGAAGTGAATATGCTGGACAAAGTAACGAATTCAGTTGCACATTTCTAAATTAAATCCACATCAGAACTTATATGCAGATAATACGCCAAATGTTTGGTTCAGAGTTTGCAATTGCAAAACAGAATGATCCGAATATGGACATAGATGGAAACATCGTCGACAATCTTATGTGCAATGTCTGAGATAGTCTGAAATGTGTTTGTGTTAATGCCCAGGACTACATGAAGCAGCTGCTAGTCTTTATGGAAATGCCTCGTTTTGAAAGACCATTTACTCTCAGATTTACAGATAGTGTAGCGTTGAAGAACAGAAACAAATTACTTTGCCTTGAGGCAAGAGAATCAGCTTAGCTCGAGCAGTGAAAGGATTTACAATTTTATTGTTGCTTTTATGGATGCTAAAAGTGGGCAGGTGTTGACGATTAACATTGGCGGGTCTCTTTTAAATCAATCAATCAATAAATCTTCATTTTACGTGCCAATATTGCCCTCGATAAAGTCGGCACGAGTGCACATTGCAACGGAACGGGAACGGTCCACGGGGCACGGAGCAACAGGAACGAAGAAAGAAACGTGTCACCACCCGCAGCGGCTAACACCGACTGAGCAAAGCAAATCATAACCGCGCTCAACATAACTGACTGGTTGCTCATCCGAGAAACGCTGCCGTACATTGACAGTCATTCACCATGCCCGCGCGCGCTGCAGTCGATGGATGGGGCTCGTGCTCGTCCGACCAGCGCTGTGATGAATTGTCACGATTCGGAGTCACGATGTGCCAGAGGTCGCAAACGGGTTTTGATTCCTTACTCGTACCCGGCCGCACCAGGGTCGCAAATGGGTACCCGTACCCGTAGCCGGCCGGGTACGGGTACCCGTTCCCTACCCGTACCCTACCCGAAATGAGTGACAAACGGTTACTCACCAGTCATTCACGGCCTACCCGTACCCGGCCGCACCAGGGTCGCAAACGGCTACCCGGGTATCGGGTAGGGTACGGGTATCGGGTACCCGGTTGCGATTTCTGCGATGTGCTGCGAGAAGGGGATTTCTTTTTTGCCGAGATTTTACCGTCTCGTTTCAATTGTTTCGCGCGGGGAAAAGGCTTGTAAGAGGTTTTTTTTGGGTAAGATCGCGTAAATATATAAATGTATCGTTAAAACCCACCACCACCCGACACAGCCAACTAGTAAGGGTTGTCACGTAAACAGAACGAGAGCCAAGCCACAACATTTACAATCTGAGTACGACGTTTCGCCAGGAATTACAACTAGCTTAATAGCCAAACCTGTCTCTCGCCTGATGAAGCTGGTTGTAAATTTTGTGTATTTCCTCTCCAACACACCGGTGTGCTGTACTAGTGACGAATTGGCACGTTCTGTTTACGTGACAACCCTTACTAGTTGGCTGTAGCGGGTTTTAACGACACATTTACATATTTACACGATCTAACCCAAAAAAAGCTCTATTGTGGATGATATTGGTCACGAAGGCCGACTGTGTGTTCAACAGGCAAAGGTTTGTCGATCGTCGTGAGCGCCGGCAGTGTTTAGATGTGACACGGGTTGAAATTGTCATCGTGTATATTCACTCCGATTTGTTGCGTTGGGTTCGTTCCGTGAGTCTAAATGTAACATTAGCTTGGAAACATTAATAACATTCTCAAATCTTAAGACATAATTTAACGTCAAATATCTGATTGAATATGGTAGGGAATGGGTCACCGTGGAATGTCTTGGTGACAACAAAATGTACAACTGTCAAACTGTATTGTTAAAGAATAACTAAGGGGGGGGGGGACGTTAAATAGCCTCAGTTTATTCCATCACCTATTTAGTTTGTTTAAGTCAGAATGTGTTTGTCATCTGCCGTATACCTGCTGCTCTAGTTGTGTGTGTGTGTGTACAAGTAGCTCCGCATCACATGCGGCTCTCGAGCATTTTTTGTCAAAGACAAATACAATTTAAAAAAATTTATTTTATTCTTTGAAAAAGCTTTCCCACCCCTGAGCTAGAGCACAGACGGACTGACCGGCATTGTTTGAGGATTGGCGCGTGATGGACCGGGCGCCGCATAGGCGTTGGCATGCCTGCGTGCTGGGGAACGAGTTGCCATTGCCACCGCAGCCCGAGTACGGGAAGGACTCGCAGAGCCCATTGCTGGCGTTGAAATGGATCCGGTAGGTGGCCTCCTGGCAAGGCCCCGAATCGGCAGGCAGCTTGCACGCCAGGTCTGTGTGTATATAAAATCGCAAATAATCCAATTTAGAAAAATAAGTTTTACTGTACAGTATACTTAACTAAATACACATGTACTTAACAAATTGTCTTGTTCAGTGTATTCCCCGATTAAACAATTGTGTTTTGGTTATATTAATTGAGAGAGCTCATTGGTCAATGGACTGAATTTTACTTCATTTTGGCAATAAAACAATCTTTACTAACTATTTTGTAAAACACCTAGTCCTGCGTACTAATGTATTTACTGCTGCACACATAACACCTGGGTCTGTCTGATCACTGCTCGAGACCTCCAGACGAAACACCAAATGAAATTCACTCTCCGTCATGGCTCATTGCGGTTAGCTATGTACGGTGCGAAATAAGTTCAACGTACATACAAAGTGTAAGCAAACCAAGCATACGTTTAGGGCCCCAAACAGCTCAAGGGACCGCGGATTCATAAAAAAATATATACAGGTGTGCATCCATATATCAACACAAATTACAATTATAAAAACATGCGCTAATTAAAATAAAAAGCCAATTAATCTCTCTCATATACATAGCGTATATCGTCTGCACCTCTCTGCTCTCATCTCACTATACCTGTGCTTTGATCTACATATCTCTCACCTCACTACATCTGGACCTATTGTTGACATCTCATCTGTCATATTACTCGGATTTTACAGAAAAAAATATGGCCCCCAAATGAATTTATCCTTAAGGCCCCAAATGGCCCAGCAGCACCACTGCTGATAGCCAAAATGGAAATTAAATGCAGATTCTACAGCAAACGTTTGCTTCGAAGTTTACAACTGTAAAACACAATTGTCTGTATCTGTTTACGGGAGCTCTGGATTTGACTAATTTCCAGCTTTGACATTTATCGATCTGACTCGTCGTGCAACGAAGATTAGCCTCATAACGCAGAACGCAAGGGGAGGTGCTGCCCTGCTCGGTGTGGGCCAGAGGTCAGCTGCGGGGACCTCAGAGGTCACTCTGTGAAATCCGCTTCCGTGGGCCGTTCTCTGCCACCAAGGGTTTCCACTGCTCTGCGAAAGATCCCAATGTGTTGTTCGTCTCGTGATGTGACGCCGATCGTGCGATTGGGATACCACGTCATTATTAGTCTCCCTAGTGGTGACGTTTACACACTGCGCCGGGTACTCATTTGAGGCTGAGTCGACCTAGGGGAGGCCCCGGCCTAGTTCAAACAATCGTCACCGGTGTTGGCCGTCAGCGGGAATCAAACTCGCGCAGCGCGCTAACCTACCGCTTAGCGCAGAAAAATCACGCGCACGCGCCACCTCTCTCGGGGAATAGCGTGGCTCCATTGGGCAGGCATGAGCGTGAGCACGCCACCACGTCGGGGAAGCTGTTGGCGTTGCCGGCCTGGCCCTCGCGCAGGAAGGGCACGCACACGCCCCTCGCGCCGTCGAACCCCCAGCGTCGCTCACCACGCTCGCCGCCGCGCTCCAGCGGCTGCTGGCACGGAGCGGCTCCGTCTGGGCATCAGCGTCATCGTCACCGTCAATCATGCATGCGTGTTGAACTTTTTTCGCAGCAAACGTAGCCAAGCGTGCTAATCGGAGGTGCGGGGGAAGGACAACAATCTAAACACAAAAGCAGTTCTAAATAAACGAGTAGAAGGGAAATAATAAAATAATAAAAATATTATGCTTTATTTTTCTTATTTTATTATTTCCCTTCGACGTGACTTTACCGAAAGAACCAAGAAGATGAATCCCTGCAGTCACGAAAGCTTTAAATCGAAATAAACGAGTGTTCAATCTAAGATTAAAAGTGCATAGCTCTTTAGACTTCCTAATAACGGAAGGAAGAGCGTTACAGACGGCCACAGAAGCGCATCTGAAAGCGCGCGATGTATGACAGCCATGACCATCTCACTGCTGCATGAAGGTCAACCCCAAGCTGTTGCCGGGGTCTCTCGCCCGAGGACCGGGACCCGGTTACCGGTGGCAGATATTCGGGATCCGTCCTTGAGTCTGAGCCAGTTTGGCAACAGACTTAACAGAGTTTTGTTACTCCGAATAGCTTACCCTGTGTGATCAGCAGGGCGCATTCGTGATGGACTGGACTCACACGAGTGTGTGATAACAAGGGTTCAGACTTGCGTAAGCTGCGAGATGGAAACGGTTTTTTGAGCACACCTTTTATCTGACATAAGTAAAACACCCTTACATTACACTTGTATTGGCGGAAGGCGACTGCAACTTCTGATGCAGGCATACTTTGGATATAAGCACAACCTGACTTGCTCCCAAGAGATGTGCATATATCCAGCTTCGCCTGTACTTTGAATGTTGGCTTTGACTTGTCAGTAACACCGTCAAATGGCTGGAATAACTGCAATTCGTGTTGTCACTTTGGTACAGCACAGGAAAGGAAACATATGATTGTGACTTATGGGAACTGTAGTTATTTTAATGCATTTTATTTTAAAGTGTTAAGTTGTTATTTTTATGTGGTTATAAATAGTCCATGCTTGAGCTGTAGCAGCGAGGAGCTATGAAACCTGCAAACAATATCCTACCCTTGAGAATTGTGTTCAAGGACCTGCAATGCCCACATTGTAGTAATTTTTTGTAGAAATCACAGACCCAGAGGCAGAGAATTGAAATGTCGATTCTTTGAAACCTGGCCCAACGGTAGGGGCATTGCCCACTGCAGTATTTAACCAAACAACAACAACAATAATAGTAATACTAATGCAACTGCTTAGATGTTGTCAAATTGACTCTCATATAAATTGGCTCTATCATTGGAATGTGTGAGTCCACCATTGGCTCAGGGTGATTGAAGTGCTCACACCACAAGTGCCAGCAGGCTGGAAAATAGAAATGCCACCAATAATGTTATAAATACTCTAGATAACATCATTTTCTTTTGACGTTTCAACAAAGCACCCCGTTTGGTTGCCTTCAAATGAAAGTGATGCATCGGCATGCATTTTCACCAGAAGGATCTGAAGCATTTATCTTTCACAAACTCTGGTCCGTCAGGACGTCACAAGCAGATGGTGTCAACTGTAGGTGTACTTGACATGAGAACGTGTCATCACATCCAAATGCTCGCTTCGTCGCACACGCACAAAGACAAAGATCCCCCATATAGCCTTAACAGACTGTTGGGGCAAGTGCTGCTCCCGAGCACCTGTGAAGGCCGGAACGGTACATGAGAGAGTGGTGTGGCCAGCACCACGCCCGACCGCCTTTGTCTTCCTAATGGCGATGTTTACACACCACACCAGGTACTAATTTGAGGCTGAGTCGACCTAGGGGAGGCCCAGGACCGGTTCAAATAACGACGCTGGTGTTGGGCGTGAGCGGGAATCGAACTCGGGTCACCGGGTTTGTAGCACAGCGCAGCGCTAACCGCTGCACCACCGCTCCGTACAAAGATCAAAGATCCCCCGTATAGCCTTAACAGACTGTAGGGGCAAGTGCTGTTAGCAAGCACCTATGAAGGCCGGAACGGTACACGAGGGGGTGGGTGGCCAGCACCACGCCCGACCGCCTTTGTCTCCCCAGTGGCGATGTTTACACACCGCACCAGGTACTCATTTAAGGCTGAGTCGACCTAGGGGAGGCCCAGGACCGGTTCAGATAATCGTCACTGGTGTTAGCCGTGAGCGGGAATCGAACCCGGGTCGCCAGGTTCATAGCGCAGCGCGCTAACCGCTGCACCACCGCTCCGTACGCACACGTACACACACGCACACACACACGTACACACGCTCACCTGTGCCCGGCTTGCCGCGCACGGCGATGGACGTTGTGAACGAGGCGCGCACGGATCGCCTGTTGAGCGCCTGTGGCAGGCGGTAGTTGGCGTCCAGGAGCTCCGGCTGGGTGTCGTTCTGCTGGGTGCTCATTATGCCCGTTTGGAGGGCCTCCAGCTGGGTCAGGGCACGGCGACAGAGCAAACCCAGAGCCAACAGTAATTCCATTGCAGACTCAGTCGGTCAGTCGAGTCACAGCCTCACCTTTGGTTGTGCTGTAGAGTAGGGTTGAACGATTAATCAATTTCAAATAGAAATCACAATTTGAAACAATGCGTTTAGCAAATCGCAAAGGCTGCGATTTTTTGCGATTTGAAAAGTCCTTTTACTTTCTAATTGTAATTGGTTTATTTTTAGTATTATTATAATAACGTTATTTATTTAACTTAACAATTGTTCTATGTTTGATTGTTCTATTTCAATATTTCTTTTTTTTATAAATACATGTTGGAGGCAATTAATATATTTTAAGTTCTCATCCTTGCATTAGAATATATACTGTAGAGCAGTTCATATTTTGATGGTATCATGTGGTAATGCTCCATCACATGTTTTAAATCTATTACACAGTGAATATTGAACTGAAGCTTGACTTTAAAAAAATATAATCGCAAATTAAATTGCAGTCGCAATATCTGTTAAAATCGTTCAGCCCTACTGAACAGCTCTCTGATGTGTTTATAAGATTGTTCGGTGTACTAGATAGACCTCATGTGTAACAACACGCACACACACATATCGTGCCCAACAATATGTGGTACAACCTTTAATTTAATTTTACTTATTCATCCAGCAGAGCCACACTGAGTCATTTGACTCTTCTTTCAGGAGGGTCCTGCATTGGGTTTTCAGACAAATTTCATGATGAGTGTTTATATAAGTGGGAGGAAACCAGAGAACCCGGATAAAAGCCACGTGCACGAGGTCGGAACGATAAATCCCCGTACAGATGGAAACAGCTACCGATTTGTCCACTTGCTGTTCTGCTTTCTCCCGGTGAGCCAGGGAATGGCACCTCGACACCCACAGAAAGGGAGTTTGTGCTATCCACCAACTCTCATTGCCGCCACATTGCTCGATTAAAGGCACGCACAGCCACCGCTGCTTGTTCAGCCTTACTGGCCGATTGCGTGCCACAGAGACGTCTCCATCGGTTCCAGTCAGCCGTCGTCGATTCTAGTCATTAATGGTTGATCACTGCCAGTTCCTAGTAAAACCACCCTGGCAGGAAAGTGGCTTTGGTGGAGAAAGATAACTCGCTCTGTATGGGAGGTGCACCGCTTACTCGATGTGGGGTTGATGGATCGTGCGGATGTCATCAAGGGCCTGGCACTTCCAGCCTGCTTAGCTATGCACTGGCAAGGAGGTGGTAGTACAGCTGATGGGATCTTGATCTAATAAACTAAACTAGGTTTTATTCTCATTTTACCAGGTAAGGCCCACTGAGCCATATCGCTCTTTTTTTAGAAACGACCTGGCCACAAATGATAGCTCGATGAAGTGGCTTATCGTCACGTGGAAATTTGTAGCAGCCAAATACTCTTTATGCCCATACTTTGGGCATTTGTTCCTTTTAACACGTGGGGATTTCTCCGAGTACTCCAGCAAAGCATACGAAGGAATTGATCGAACAGTCTAAATATGGGACACTTTAAAAATACAATAAATGAGACTTCAGTAAGGGCTTTCTGAAGAAAAATTCCACACGCTCACAAAGTACGAGGGCCGACGGGCCTGATTAGCCTTTCGGGTTAATCCACTCCGACATGATGCGGTGACCTGACTCTTCACCGCGGTGGCCGCGATGGCCGTGAGTGTGCGGCGGACCTGCTGGACGCCGACTCTGACGGTCTGGTTGAAGACGATCCAGCTGACGCCCTCGGTGCAAGGAGGCGTCGTGAGGGAGCCGTCGTAGCGAAAGTATCGTCCCAGGTCGGGGGGCAGCAGCGACCGCACCTCGAAGGGGCCCACGTCTGTAGCCTGATCTGCTCGCACGGGAAAGCACGCGGTTTCCCGCGAGTTCTCAGAACCCCACTTAATTCAAGACATTGAACTCTTAATCCGTTAAACAAAAACAACAATAACAAAACACTTAGTTGGTGTAGTTTGCTGGTTGCCGCTTTATGTGCGGGGCCTCGGCAACTGCTTTGAGAACTAAAAAACGCGCGTATGTTGTTTGTGCACAAAAACACAAATCTCATCAGCAGCAAATACAAGGTGCCACACTGCTCAAGTGAGTAGCAGGAAAGCGTTAATCACCATCGGGGGCCCAGAGCCAGTGGTGGAAATGTCACATTCCTGTGGCGGGAGCGAGTGATCAATAGCACAAGACAACCGCTGTTGACTCCCCCATAAAGTGGTACTCATTTTACCTATCCCAGATGGACGATGGGCTGAGTCAACCCTCAACCAAGGATTTGAAATCGCAACCTGTCGATTGCGAGCCACTCCCTCTACCACTGAACCAGCTAGCTATTTAACGGACACTATAAAATACAATTTAAAAAACCCAATAGGTAGAAAAAGGAAGACAACTACAGCAATAGCTCGGCTGATGAAGAGACTGTATGGATACATTAAGATGTAAGCGCAAGATTGGAAAGGATGGGCGGCGAAGAAACTGTCCATAAGGCAGAGAGAATCGAGGAGGGGAAGTTGGCCTGCAGAGACCCACGGGTGTGTTCCACAGGGCGCTTCTCAAGACAACATCCACTAGAACTCACTGCTGTACTTGATATTTCTAAGTCCATCGACAATCTTCTGGAAGGCTGGGTGCTCCTGTGAGCCGACCTGTTCACACAACGGCAAATGTTTATCGCTCGCGGTAAAATTGCGCGTTCAAGTATCGTCACCTGCCGCTCGCCAACACCATCGAGTCGGTGGCACCGAAGCAAATCATCAGGTCACGAGCAACACCGTCGAATGGCTAAGGAACCCGGTTATCAATTCATAACATGTGTTGCTCATAATAGAGTTTTTTTGGGTTAAATCACGTAAATATGTGTCGTTAAACCCGCCACCACCCGACACAGCCAACTAGTAAGGGTTGTCACGTAAACTGAACATGCCAATTCGTCACTAGTATAAGACGTTGGCTCTCAAGACCAATATCATCCATGATGGTGATAATGTGGTTAAAATCTGGCTGTCGCCTGACGAAGCTAGTTGTAATTACTGGCCAAACGTCGTACTCAGATGGTAAATGTTCTTGCTTGGCTCTCCAACACACCGGTGTGCTGTACTAGTGACGTGTCGGCCTTTATAAGGTGCTACTCGATAACAGCACTTGCCCTGACAGTCTGTTCAGTTTATACGGGGGGGGGTCTTTGTTTTTGGTGGTGGTGGTAGGTGGTAAAGATGATAGCAGTGGTGTTGGTATTACTGATAGCGTTACCTGGAGCAGGACACCAAGCACAGCCAGCCCTTGGGGCTTTCCCAAAGCCTCGGCCACACTCGCATAGCTCTCCGAGTTGTAAAGTACCACGTGCATCTGCAACGGGACCACGTGTGTGTGTGTTTCATCAGTGAGCAGGCAAGGGAAGACGCGTCGAAGCGCTTTCTACTCTAAACCTCGTGACCCTACCATGGCTCGTTTCTCCACGAGCCATAGTAGGGGTCACGAGGGTCACAACGTCCAGGGGACCGTAGTTGTTATTAGGGTGTCCATGAAAGGCTAGGAAGACGCGTCGAAGCGCTTTCTACTCTAAACCTCGTGACCCTACCATGGCTCGTTTCTCCACGAGCCATAGTAGGGGTCACGAGGGTCACAACGTCCAGGGGACCGTAGTTGTTATTAGGGTGTCCATGAAAGGCTAAGTAGGGAGTCTGCCTAAAAGTTCTGTAGTTGGCACAGCCAAAACAATAATTTGTACCAGATCCAACCACCTGCAAAAAGTCCCATTCTCTTTGCCGGTTTGACTTAAACCAGCTGTACAGATATAAATACGTTTCAGAGATGTGACTGTATCAGATGCTAACTACCTCACCTGGTATACAGGAGGTCGTGGGTTCAATTCCGACCTTGATGCCCGTATATTTGGAGTTTGCACGTTCTCCCCGTGGTCACGTGGATTTTTCCCTCCACATTTAGAAACATGCATTTAGACATGATAAGCCACTTTGTTGAGCAATCATTTGTGGCCAGGTCACTTCTGAAAAAGAGCTATGTATAGCTTAGTGGGTAGAGTTGGCCTTACCTGGTAAAATAAATATAGTAAATAGTAATAGTATGTCATCAGTGGTTGTTCTATGGGAAGAGTGACCCACACCAGAGAAAAGAGGAATGTGGAATTTTAAATGCTGGCTTAGGGCTGCCAATAGAATTGCGTGCCAGTTCATTCTGCCTAGAGCAGAGAGGCACTTGGCTTTTCAATTGTAACCGGCCCTTGGTTTAAACAAGGAGGACACCGTGTGTATGCATGGGTTCTGTAATGCTTTTCAACTTGCATTTGTCATGAGAAGTGTTGAATTATCAATACGTTTAATGATCCAAGTCACATGATGGGATGTCACGTGCAATGTGGCATGTAAAATTTCAATATGTTGCACGTAACGGCATCATTGGGAGGGGGGGTCAATGTAACATGGTAACAATAGCATTGCCTTGCAAGGAAAAATACTTTTAGTGCAGTTTTTTATCACCAAGTTTTGGATAACCCTTTAATTTATTTGGCTGCTTTTCAATTGGAAAAGTTTTAATAGCAACATAACCTTGTTTTTTATGAAGGCAATTCATACTTCATGCAATTATTTGCTTGATTAATACAGCTCTACACTGCTGAGTTAATATGTGTATGCATCTCATGGCACGGTCTAATCGCCATGTTGATCTCATGACGTGGTGGCTGGTTTAAAGGTTGTTCCAGATACAAGTCGACTGACAATTGCGTGCAGGGTATCGTTACGCCGTCGCCTATTTCAATCGTGTGGATTCCACAGGATGGAGACAGCCCAGGAACAGCATGGTAAGGTGCACATTTAACGTGCCATGGAAATGAGACATTTGCTAGTGGTGGTGATGATGTTACATTTCCACTACAGATATGAACATTTTTCATTCTGCAGTTTCCTTTGCCTCGGTCCCTTAAGCTTTGCCCTTGAGATACCCCTGTTAATGATTAACGGTTCACATACTCCCACCTCTTGAACAGGCCCCTGTCGTTGAGACTGTGCTCTTACCAATAATATCTGGCAACCGAACAGCACTTAGTTAACAAGCCTGGACTGCTGATGAGACTCAGGAGGTTGGAACAAATCAAGAGTGTGCTTTCTGAAATAAATGCTCGCTGGGCAATATTGCTTCTGGAAAGCCAGTAAGGTCAAAGAACTGAAACGCTTTTTATTTGGAGGCGAAAGCACAGGACGGAGGTTCCCGCCCGTGTTATTGCCCACAAACGCTGCGCAAGATCGCGCGACGTGGTTTTCCTTGCGCCCACCTCGGCGTCATAACGCTTCCCGTCCACCGTGTGCTCCGAGCCGCCAGGCTCCTCGTCGCGCGCGCCCCAGTGCAGGTGGAGCTGGGCGGCCGTGTGCTCGGACGGGAGCCCGGTGGTGACGCTCATCGACTCGGGCAAGTACACCTTGACTGTGGGAACACGACGAGAGCAGCCAATGCCCACAGTATCTGTTTTCTGACCCTTTCCCGTTCCGATGACGTACGTCGCAACCGACAGAAAAACGAAAATGAAACGTCATCGGAACCGAGGCTCCCACAAGGCCATGCAGGAGGGTGTGTGCTACAGTTTGGCGGCCGCTTTTGTAGAGTGCGGTCGTGTCGCTTTGGTTTTCTGCAGAGAGTACAATGTCTTTAAGAACAACGGCGCTACGCCTCTCTAAATAAAATTAACGCGAACCGCTTCCGCGTTCTGAGATCCAGCGGTGAACGGGATACCCACCATGCAACTTGCAGACGTCTCGGAACGGGAAAGGGTTTAACGCAACGATAATTTAGTGCATGCGGTATTCTCGCCGTCATTAGAGTGCAAGTTTATTCCGAAAGCTCAATCTTTTTTTTTTTACAGATGGATAGTCTGCCAGAAAGGGGGGGACGATGTTACGTGGTTTAACCCGATTAAGAAATTTGCACGTAATAATTCAAATTTGGAGGCTGATTCTGGCACACAGTATAACATTGCAGGATCTTTAACATCCACTGTTAATGCACCCAACCAGGAGAGCTGCTGGCTTCATACTGTGAACCTCAGCAACAAGTGGTAAATGTGCTACCGCTCGGCCAGGTGGCTGCCCTCCTTGCTATGAGCTGGAACAGGTGACCCCAATCGACAATTCTTGCTTTGATGGGGGGGGGGGGACATACGGTGCAACACCGCTGCATTCAAAGGCGCAGCTTGTGATCCAGCGACTTGGACATGGGGTTGGTTGAACACACAGGTTGAGACGGGGTATGCATTTCATACCCAGCTGCATTGCAATGACTTGCTGGCTATCTATCCACAGAGTGTGAACGTCAATCGCTCGTGTGTGTATAGTGTATGGAAGTTGAACTTTGAGATCTCCTTTACCAGTGGCAAAATATAGTAATAGGTTTTTACCCTTTTAACTGGTACAAAGGACAGTGCATATCATTATCATCATCAGAGTTGTTTCTTTTTGTTTGCATTTTGACTTCTTGTGTTGAGGTTATTGCAAACATGATGCCTTGTATAAAGGTGTCAGATTTTGTACCAGTTAAAAGGGTAAAAACCTATTACTAGAAGTTGAACTTCTCTACATGTATGTATGTTGAACTTCTTTCGCACTGTACGTAGTCAACCGTGCTAATCAGAGGTGCGGGGGAAGGACAACAAACTAAACACAAAAATCAGTTCTAAATAAATTAGTTTTCAATCTAGATTTAAAAGTGAATAGCTCCAGTGGCGTCCTAATATAGGAAGGAAGAGCAGAAGCGCATCTGAGAGCGTGCGATGCAGTGACCGTCTCTGTTCGATGGCCAGCCAAAAGCCGCTGCGAGGATGTGTGGATATCCTCAGAGAATCACATAAACTTTCCAAATATAGTTTTCCAAATATCTCAAATAGGACACTCCTGAAAAGAGTGAACACCCAGTGAGGCATCTGTGAGTAAGTACAGATGCAATTATCATTAAACAGGCTACTATTCGACACGGCCATATTTCGTGAACTTGACAGTAAGAATAAGGTTGGCGGTGCCCCTTTCTGATGTACAGCATTTTTGAGAATAAATTAAGGAAGTGTGGTGGTTATTTTGTAAGCGTGTCTCTACCTCTGTGCCACTATCACACTCTTTTCGCAGGCCCTATGCTCGTGGTTGCCAGGGCTGTTTATTTTGCCCCAGTCCAAACCTGGACGTTCCTAATCTAATGTCCAAAGGCCGTTTCCAAACTTCCATGCGCTTGAATCAAATTTGTAATTTCCATGACCTCCATGCCAAAATTATAGCCTGAAATTTGTAATTGAGTTTCATTTTTCCCTGCTCAAAGAAGTGGGAAGTGTGCATATCGTTAAATGGACCCTGAACCAGCTGATGAAATTCAGTATGTTGATGGTGGTGATCTGTACTAGGACAACCACTGTTAACTGTCCCAAAACGTGATAAATGGACATCAAATATTGTACAACTAACTGGCAGAAAAGCATTGATACATAACCTTTTGCTATGAGATCAACAAACCTTTACCCATACAGCAGCCCAGCCATCTCCTGAGCTACACGGGCAAAGGTCTGGCTTCAAGGGCATCTGTAAACTATTAAACTGTGGCTGCCCTGTATTGCAAATGTTTACGTTCTGGGTGTGATGTGTTTCGTGTGTAAATGTTACTCCCTTGGTCAATGTTACGTCCAGGTCTTTCTCAAGGTGTGAAATAATCTCGTGCAGAATTCGGTACCCGTTTTGTTTTGTGTTACTCTGAGAGAATGACCATCAATCTACAATTGAGATTTACAACTTGAATCCTTGAGCGAACAAGGGCCCTACCAATACCACTACCCAGCTGCAAAACATGATAAATGCGTCGACCGGTTTGGCGTTCGCCATACCCGTGTGTCCATTGTTTCTCATCCTGTAGGCGGCACTGAGACTTTCAAATCCGTGGAGAACGATGGGCTGCAGGGTGTTGTCCGCGTTGGCCAATCGACTGTCGATGTTGACAGGAGACTGGGAGGAGCCTCCACACTGTGGAATCGTGGTGGGCCACGTCGCCTGACCGCCATCACCTGCGGAACATCGACCATTTGTACACGTTTCGATTTCAAGCTTTCGTGACTGCAGGGATTAATCTTCTTGGTTCTTTCGGTAAAGTCACCTGAGGACGGCTGCTTGCGTTGTGGCCGAAACGTCGTGAGAATTGTATTTTTATGTTTTATTTTTATTATTTCCCTTCTACGTGACTTTACCGAAAGAACCAAGAAGATGTGTACACAGTTCATCGGCCCTAGTTTAACAAAGCGTTAGTCTCTTGCAGTGTGCTTCATTGCAAGGCCCGCGGCCCACTGGCGCCCCCTGGTGGCCTTTAGTTCAGCCCCCGCCGTGCGGCCCTCGACAATACACAACGAGCAGAGGTCGCACACGGGTTTTGATTCCTTACCCGTACCCGGCCGCACCAGGGTCGCAAATTGGTATACGGGTACCCGTTCCCTACCCGTACCCTACCCGAAATGAGTGGCAAACGGTTACTCACCAGTGACTCACGGCCTACCCATACCCGGCTGCACCAGGGTCGCAAACGGCTACCCGTACCCGGCCGGGTACGGGTAGCCGGGTATCGGGTAGGGTACGGGTATTGGGTACCCGGTTGCGACCTCTGACAACGAGTGAAAACACCACCCCCCCCCCCCCATCGTCTTGCTGTCTAACCCCAACGGTTTCAAATGTGTGGCAGCCCTCACACTGATGTCTTACCGGCGAAAGTTGCCCCCCCCCCCCCTCTGAAAATTAGTGAATGCTGGTCGATCGAGATGCATTACCTCTCGAAAAAGTCTCTGCAACGTGGCTCATGGATGCGGAATTGTGTGTTTTTTTTATTGTAGTGCAGCTCGATGAGATGTATAAATAACCAAAAGTTTACCGCAAAGTGACCTTTAGCCCATGTGCCAAGTTTACTCAACCGGTGTGCATGTTGAGCCCAGTCAACTCCCTCGCTTTCAAAAATGTTATTTATTCTCGGCCATACACCTCACAGTTCCGCGGTGTCGACTACTCTAAACGAAAACGCAAAGCAAGATTTGCGCAACGAAGGACAGGGATCTCAACCACAGAGAGAGAGAGAGAGCCTCACTGGTTCGGCTAAAAAGAAACCCAACGACAACTGCTTTCTACCCGTGTGTGTTCGGGGCACACAAGCGTGGTCAGGTTAACATCAATGTGAGCCCGGGGCTCCTGGCCGCCTCAATGGACATGAGTCAGCATCGGTGGACTTCATCCCCATAATTCGGGGACTTTTGTTTCCAAGGATTTTTTGCGGTGCTCGCCTGACCGCGTTCACTGTCGACGCCCTAAGGCAGTTTAGACCACGCAGAGGCAGCCAACCGCAGATTTTGACATTTGTATGCGATCTTGACTTTATATCATGGGACCTTTTTGTTGTTGTTGCCCCATATCAAATGATGAAAAGTGAGAATAGGTTTTACCCTTGTTGGCAATAACACAGACTTGATTGCTCGCGAAAGGTATCTAGTTGGCGTTTAAACATCTTAACACCTGTTTTATGAATGTGAATATTGTTATTGTCGGAGAGGGTAAAACCGATGTTCTTTTTTATCCTTTCGTATTGGCGAAAAGGTCCCATGATATAGCTGCTCACCTCGAGCTATAAATGATCTGATACTTGCATTGTCGTTGTACTGTTCGTCTTTTGGCGTTCCCTGATCTGACACTGGTGAGACGAGGTCATTAAGAAGGCTGCTGTCTCTGGTGTAGGCCAATCAGTTTCAAAGACGATGCATACGTAATCAGAGCGTGTTTGTTTGCATGTTCAACACAAGTACGTTTGGTTAATGCAGAATTCATTCCTCGCGAAAGGTATCCATTTGGTCAGTTTAACACGTAGCTTTCGCGACCAATACCATCCATAAGAGGTTTTTTTGTGTTCGATCTCGTAAATAGATCGCGTATTTACGTGATCCAACCCAAAAAACCTCTTATCCTTAAATTTTGATTTAAAGCTTTCGTGACTGCAGGGATTCATGTCCTTTGTTCTTTTGGTAAAGTCACGTAGAAGGGAAATAATAAAATATTGTTAATTGGTTTATATGTTTTATTTTATTTTATTATTTCCCTTCTACGTGACTTTACCGAAAGAACCAATAATATGAACCTCTTATCCGTTTGGTGTTTGAACATCTTAACACCAGTTTCATTGCCATAAAGGGTAAAACCTATTCTTATATTTGTATTGGTCTTAACTTGAATGGAGGAGAGTTCAACATTGAAGTGTTGGTGTTGGGTTTTCGTTACGAAATGTAAATATATATACACAGTGTATGCAGTGTACACATCCGTGCATGAGGCGATGTCTCACTGTTCAAACAATCCCTGCCCTGTCACTCGGGAGCTGTTGGTGGCTCGTGAGTCGGTGGCGGAAAGTCCACACTCTAACGGCAGATGCCCGTTTCTCCAACATAACGGCAATTTGTTGGCTTGACACAAAGTGTCTCCCTCGCGAAAGAGATGGGTGTCTTGGTGGGATCTCACGCAGCTTCATTTTATTATTTTCCACTCTTTCAATAGTGACCCACAGTTACAAATAATAAAGGCCACAGACGGCATTTGATGCATAATTGCAAGTAACTAAAAACAGCACGTGCGCTGCATCACGCGTGTTGTTCTACAAAGCATTTCAGCATGAGCATGCGTCAGGCTGGGGATAAGAACCCAGTGGACCACGTGGAAACTACCTGCGTGCAAACATTCACACAAACGCCCCGAATTGCCTTATCAGTGCCACTCGTATCGTGCAGCGGTGCATTCACGCTTGGCTTGATAACGCAGCAATGTGGTTATTGCTGCACGGGAAAACGTGTACACACACACACTTGTTGAAAGTAGCGTCGTGTCGTGCAATGTCACATACCGCGGTGTGTCCAGTGCTCGCTCGACGATCCTTAGAGAAGACAGATGCAGGCCATGTCAAAGACGAAGCTCTCACACATAACAGACTGTTGGGGCTGATGCTGCCCGCCTTCCATTGCTCCCCAATGCTGACATGTACACTGACATGTACACTGACATGTACACTGACATGTACACTGACGTGTACACTGACATGTACACTGACATGTACACTGACATGTACACACACAGAATATGTACACACCGCAACGGGTACCCATATTGGCCTGAACAGACTTTTGGGGAAAGTGCTGTTAGCGAGCACCTATGAAGGCCGGGAACGCCCGGATGTCTTTATCTCCCTTGCGGCGATGTTTGCACAACGCACTAGGTACTCATTTGAGGCTGAGTCGACCTAAAGGAGGCCCAAGACAGGGTTCACATAATCATCACCGGTGGTGGCCGTGGAGCGGGAATTGAACCTGGGTCGCCGGGTTTGTAGCGCAGCGCGCTAACGACTACACTACCGCTCCCCACACTGACCCGACACACACATTAACTAACTCATGCAACTACACACATTAGCTAACACATGCAACCAAAGATATATATTTTTTAAAAAGCTCACGCGACCGCGCACACAGATTAAAACAAATGAGTATCTCCACGCAAACTCATAATCACAGTTCCAAAAGGACGTGTGCAGCGGTGCAATCGGCTAAACGGCACGCAGACACACAAACAGCAAGTAACATGCACAAGCACGGCCACAGACAGCGCGAGAGAGAGAACGAGAGCAGCGCTCAAAGTGCCGACAGCGACGTGCGTGAAGCGATGTTGACGAGCGAGCGACGCGTTCACACCATCATCATCACCATCATCACCATCATCATCACCACCATCATCATCACCATCATCACCATCATCATCACCGTTATCATCATCACCACCATCATCATCACCATCATCATCATCACCGTTATCATCATCACCACCATCATCATCACCATCATCATCATCACCACCATCATCATCACCGTTATCATCATCACCATCATCATCACCACCATCATCATCACCGTTATCATCATCACCACCATCATCATCACCATCATCATCATCACCACCATCATCATCACCGTTATCATCATCACCATCATCATCACCATCATCACCACCATCATCATCACTACCACCATCATCATCACCATCATCATCACCATCATCACTATCATCATCATCACCACCATCATCATCAACCCCATCATCATCACCATCATCACCACCACCATCATCATCACCATCATCATCACCATCATCACCACCATCATCACCATCATCATCACCATCATCATCACCATCATCATCACCATCATCATCACCATCATCATCATCACCATCATCATCACCATCATCATCACCATTATCATCATCATCATCATCACCACCATCATCACCATCATCATCATCACCATCATCATCACCATCATCACCACCATCACATCACCATCATCACATCACCATCACCACCATCATCACCATCATCACCATCATCATCACCACTATCATCATCATCATCACCATCACCACCATCATCATCATCATCACCATCATCATCATCACCATCATCATCACCACCATTATCATCATCACCATCATCATCACCACCATCATCATCATCATCACCATCATCATCATCACCATCATCATCACCACCATCACCATCATCACCATCATCACCATCATCATCACCACCATTATCATCATCACCATCATCACCACCATCATCATCACCATCACCACCATTATCATCATCATCACTATCATCATCATCACCATCATCATCACCACCATTATCATCATCACCATCATCACCATCATCACCATCATCACCACCATTATCATCATCATCACCATCATCACCACCATCATCATCACCACCATCATCATCATCACCATCATCACCACCATCATCATCATCACCATCATCACCATCATCATCACCGTCATCATCATCATCACCATTATCATCATCACCATCATCACCACCATCATCACCATCATTACCACCATCATCATCACCATCATCACCATCATTACCACCATCACCACCATCATCACCACCATCATCATCACCATCATCATCACCATCATCATCATCACCATCATCACCACCATCATCGTCATCATCATCATCACCACCATCATCATCACCATCATCATCACCACCATCATCATCACCATCATCATCACCGTTATCGCTGCCGTGCGCAGCGAGGCTGAGCGGAGCCACCGCCGCCACCAGCAGCAGCAGCGGCAGCAGCCACAGCCGCATCAGCACCACCTTGCTCGCCACGGGCAGCAGCAGCAGCATTCGGCAGCAGCTGTAGCAGCAGCAGCTGTAGCAGCTGTAGCTGCAGTAGTAGGAGCTGCTGTAGCTGTAGCAACAGCAGCTGTATCAGCTGTAGCAGCTGTAGCAGGAGCTGCTGTAGCTGTAGCAGCAGCAGCTGTATCAGCAGCTGTAGCAGGAGCAACAGGAGCTACTGCTGCGCTCCCCGAGCCCGCCGGCAACACGCACGCTCTTTAAACGCCACACCAAAGATAAAGATTCCCCCCCTCCCCCCCGTGTAGCCTCGACGGACTGCGAGGGCAAGTGCTGTTAGCGAGTAGCATCGACACACGAGTGGGCGGGCGGGCGGGCGCGTGGGTCAACAACCACGCCCGGTCGCCCTTTGTCTCTCCACCCAGTGGCGATGGTCACGCGCCGCACCGGGTTACTCATTCGAGGCCGAGTCGACCTAGGGGATGGCCCAGGACCGGGTTCAGATCATCATCATCGTCGTCGTCGCCGGGATGGTAGCGCGTGGCGCCACCGCTCCACGCCTCCACGTGCGCGTCCATCACGGTGCAGACCAAGACCCAAGACCCCCCCCGTGTCGCCAGACTGTCGGGGCAAGTGCTGTTAGCGAGTAGCACCTATGAAGGCCGGCACGGCACACGAGGGGGTGGGTGGCCAGCACCACGCCCGGCCGTCTTTGTCTCCCCAGTGGCGATGTTTAGGGGCCCGTCCATAAATTACGTCACGTGATTTTGGATGATTTTTGACTCCCCCCCTCCCTCGTCACACGGCGTCACAAAGCTCTGCCCCTTCCCCCCAAAACAAAAATAAAAAATGCTTCAAATCGCTTTAAACTTTTGTCATTGTAGTGCGTATTTAACGTGGCGCTGCACTCTGATGCTGTAGAAGAAAACATTTATTAAAAAGTCTATTTAATCAAGTAGAACGTGTTGTCTATATTTATTTAAAGTTGCGCATTTTGATGTGACGTCCCATTTCTCAACCCCCCCCCCCCTCGTCACAAATCGTCACAAATGTGCGTGACGTCATTTATGGACGGCCCCTTACACATCGCACCAGCTGAAAACACTTGAGGCTGAGTCGACCTAGGGGAAGGCCCGTCACGCACCCCCGGACAGCCATCACCGCTAGTCGCGAGATCGGAGTGCCGGCGATACGAGGCGTTCTTTAAATAGAACACCGCGCGCGCGCACACAGGGACACAGACACCTGCAACAACACAGTGTACCGTGCGTGGAGAGCAGTCGCTAGAAAGCGCCTGCTTTGTGATTCATTTACCGGGGGGTGGGTAAGCAGCGGGGGGAGCGAAATCCTGGGACCGACCCTGCTTCAGCAAGTGAGAGCACCGTTACGGAAATCACTTGTGGATCCCGTGCCAACATTTGGAGCAGTGTGTGGCTCACTGGCCTGTGTGATGTGTTTATCGTGGCTTTGTGTGGGAGTCTCTGTCTGTTAGGGGGGGTGGTGGGTTGTTTGGATAGTGTGTGGGGAGCGGTTGTCCAGTGGTTAGCGCTACGCTGCGATACAAACCCGGCGACCAGGGTTCCCGCTCACGGCCAACACCGGTGACGATTATCTGAACCGGTCATGGGCCTCCCCTAGACGGACCTCAATTGAGTACCTGGTGCGATGTGCAAACATCGCCACTGGGGAGATAAAGGCGGTCGGGCGTGGTGCTGGCCACCCATCCCCTCGTGTGCCGTGCCGGCCTTCATAGGTGCTCGCTAACAGCACTTGCCCCAACAGTCTGTTAAGGCTACACGGGGGATCTTTGTCTTTTGTGCGTGTGTTTGGTGCTCGGGTTCAGTCTCCCGTAGTGGGGGGTTGTGCTCCTTTGCCCCCCCCCCCGCCTCGTTCTACACGATCTCGTGTACATTTAGATTTATTAAGATTCGTGGTGTTTTGTAAGTAATCCTTGCGGCGTTTTGTGCGCCGAGCAACAATGAGCGTGAAGGGGTTACATTTGCAACCGGACCGCACGGGCATGGAGCGAAAAAACACAAAGCCTACGCGTAATCATCATTGTACGCTGAAAATTCCTTCAATTTCGTTTTATTGTAAGCCTATTTTCAAATACCACTAGAGCTCTATGTGCAATATTTAGATTTGATGGCAATCAACTTGCATGACTGTATATTGCCTTCATCGTTATTACCCATCATAAATACAATGCGGCCCTGCCAATAAATTATTTTTCTCGTCCCTTGATCTTTAATGGTCTCCGGGGTATGACCATATCTCATTGCAGTACTCTTCTCTCTGCTGCTGCATCTTTCAACTGACATGGCTACAAACCCATCCAATCAACTAAAACATCAACAAATATGCTTCATATTATGGGATTTTTTGTTGTTGTTGCCAGTATCAAAGTATGACAAATAAGAATAGGTTTTACCCTCTCTGCCAATAAAACAGGATGTGTTAAGATGTTCAAACACCAAATAGATACGTTTTTTGCAAGTAACCAAGTCTGCATTAACCACACGTACTTGTGGTGAACATGCAAACGAACATGCTGTGATAATAAAACATGGCATTGTCTTCGAAAACGGATTGGCCTACACTAGAGACAGCCTTATTCATGGCCTAGTCTCACCAGTGTCACCTGTTTTATTGTCGGAAACGGTCAAACCTTTTCCCATTTTTTCATAAATATGCTTCAGCCCATACACTCGTTTGCTTTTCCTACATTTTTGCGGAAAGCACGAATCGCAATCAGAACATTTTGGCTCAAAATTACGGTTAGAGGTTGACTCAGTTCCTCATCTCTGGGCCTGAATAAAATGTGCCACTTTGTGAAGTCAAACGGTGGGCATCCAATGAAGGCGAGGGCTCCGACCGTCATAGGAATGTGGAATATTCGCCACTTGTGACGGGGGCCCCGGTGGAAATAAATGCTTGCCACCCCTTGCACAGGGAGTCACTTTAACTATGATAGTTGTCTACCAACTGGTTCGCTGCGCACCTGTGCACATCACTCACAGGTAATAAGTTGGTAAGTAAAGAGCCTTGGTATCTATTGGTCAGCAGCACTACTCACTTGCAAATGACTACCAAACACACTCTCTGTGCTGTGAATCCGCAATTATATATTAGCTTAAAATGCGAATCAATAAAATAAAACTGGCTTCTAAAAGCCAAAATTTAAATTGTCCACAGTCACTGCAAGTTGGTGAGTGATGGAATTATTTGAAAAAAATTAAGGCTCTACTCAAAAATTGAATCTTGTATTGGGTAGGAGTTAATTATTACATCCTGTTAAAATGCAACTGTGAGCATGTGCCCATAGCATGTGGCACGATTCGATAAAGTTATACGCCTAATTACACAGCGTGTTTAAAAAAATGGACCCGATTTGAAATCGCTATATCTCTGCAACTACGAACCGCCCATGAATGAAACTCTTACCACTTGAAAGGGCGGGGCATAGCGTTTCAAATGATTACTGCTGGATGCCTCTCCCAGCGCACAAACAGCCCCGAGCCTCAGTCATTCTCAAGATGGTTACCCCACAATACACAAGGGGCGTTTTGCGTTCTGCAGTTCAACAAGACTGAATCCGTAATTGCGGTGCAGCGTGCGTTTCAATGGCGTTTTGGCATTGATCCGCCAATGTCTAAGAGCATTCGTCGTTGGTACCGATAATTTGAGGAAACGGGCTGTTTATGTAAGGGGACGAGCACAGGGCGACCACGCACCTCAGAGGAAAACGTGAGAAGAGAGGCGGTGGTTATTGCAACGCGCTAAAAGGCCTGGAGACCCAGGTCTGATTTCTGACCAATTGGTATCTGAAACTGGCCGAGTCTAAAATGAGTAGCTGGTGTGCTGTGTGAACATCAGTGCTGGAGGGACAGAGGCAGAGTCATGCGAGCTCCGACAGATTCTTGCTGACAGCATTTGCTCCACTCTATTTGAAGACTTGTTTTCTTTTTGAATGTTCAGGCTGTCATACATTTTTTAGAATTTCAAAACTTCTCGACCACACTCCCAGAAGGCTGTGCAGTTGGGTCGCGTCATACATATTTTGATATTTTTTTTGGAATGTTGAGACGAATACGTGGAGACCTATTGTCTGATTAATTATTAGTTTTGTTATCCTAATTACAGTTGTTATTCGTCACCACGGGGGTGAATTAAGTGTTGTTCATTCAACCCTTTCAAATAGCCGTGGGAATGATGAACCCTTGCCCTTTGTAGTTTGTACCCCGACGCTTGATTTGCCACCGTCAATTTGACAATTGACAAACACGGCCCTCCTGACCCCACCACAGTCCTGCTCCACAGTGTCTGCCAATTAACGGAGCGTGTACAATGCGTCATTAATTTACGGTGGCGATAAACCGGCCCTGCTTAGAGCGATAGCACGACCAGCCCCGTGTTTACTGGCCCGAGAAGCAGCAGTGGTGTGGTTTGTTGTTTTGTCTGGTTTGGACTGCACGCGTTGGTGGGCACTACATCCGTCCGACGTCTCTTATCAATTGTGCTGGGAACATTTTTTCACGCACTTTTATTGAACTCGTTTCTTCCTTGAAGACACCCAAGAAAGAATGAACGCTGAAGATGTTCTCAGCGTGCAGAGGGAAAAGCCCCGACATCGTGCACAAAGAACAACAATCTGAGTGCAGTGTTTCGCCAGTAAGTACAACTAGCTTCTATATAAGGAACGAAACAGGTGGACTTCTCCACAAATCTGGCTGTCGCCTGATGAAGCTAGTTGTAATTACTGGCCAAACGCCGTACTCAGATTGTAAATGTTGTGGCTTGGTTCTCCAACACACCGGTGTGCTGTACTAGTGACGAATTGGCCACGTTCTGTTTACGTGACAACCCTCACTAGTTGGCTGTGTCGGGTGGTGGTGGGTTTTACGACACATTTATATATTTACGTGATCTAATCCCCCAAAAAACCCCTGCATTATGGATGACATGGAAACACTTGGCGTGACGTAATGGGCCTCACATCTCTCAAAGTCCGTCGAACCCGACTAAACCGGACCGGACTTAACTGGACCGGACTAAACCGAACCGCACTAAACCGAACCAGACTAAGCCTGACCGGACTAAACCAGGACCGGATTTAACCGAACCGGACTAAACCTGACCGGATTAAACCGGACTGGACTACACCGGACCGGACTAAACCGAACCCGACTAAACCGGACCCGACTAAACCGGACCGGATTAAACCGGACCGGACTAAACCGGACCGGACTAAACCGGACCGGACTAAACCGGACCCGACTAAACCGGACCCGACTAAAC